CAGGGATGGTTTTCATAGCCCTTTCCACTTTGGGAACATCCTCCAGGCCTCAGCTTGTGAGAGTAAGCATGTGCACTTATTTGCAGGCTGGATAATGATGCACTTGGAAGTTGGGAAAAGCATTGATTATGAACGTGGATTTTACCGAGTTATCTTTGTTATTCAGGGGGGTAGTATACAATTGTTCCCGAACACATCCCGTTGTACAAGACCCAATGTCCTATCCGTGTAGGGAACATGTGACGGGTAATTGCCGAAGCAAATTTAGCGTGCGATTATAGCACACCGTGACCTACCTTCACAGGCAATGTCACTGAATCTGTTACAACGTTTTGGCCAATAGGACGGCATCTTGAACGTGATAGGGCGGCACAGGTTATGTAGATATCTCAGTTGTAGTAACACGAATCTTGACTTAAAGCTTTTGTGACTGCAGGCATTCATATTCTGTGGGTCTTTCGGTAAAGTCACGTAGATAGGTTAAAAGAAAATAACAAAAATGTTTTTTTAAAACTACGACGTTTCGATCACAGCACAAGCGTTCGTCATCGTGTTATTTTCTTTGAACCTATCTACGTGACTTTACTGAAAGACCCAAAGAATATGTAGTAACATAACCAATAATGTCTAAGTCTTGTGATTGAATACGTTCGCAAATTTGAGAATCCTACATTTGGAGCCAGAGTAATCGCCGTGCTTTTAAGCCACAGAAGATGTTTTAAGTCAAACCTGTGTCCGTTACCTGTTTTCCAATTAATTAATGTATTCAGATAAGTGTTGTTGAATTAAACAGTTTGCCAACTCAATAGGACGGATAAACAATGACATGCCATTCCAAAATAGAATCCTACTGGCAAATAGGATAAAATAAACGTGCGTGTGTTTTCTAGTTTTTCGAATAAATGTGTATACCATGCAGCAGTTAAGTTCACCGTCTAAATGTATGTATGTTGAACTTCTTTCACACCGCACATAACCAACTTGGCACAAAAAGCAGTTTTAAAGAAATTAGTTTTGCAATTTATATACATGTGACGAGTTGCCTTCAATGACGGGCATTTACAATCAGGATGCTGTTCTAAAAACAATGGCAATTCATAGCACACGACACCAGTAGTGACCGCTACAGAGAAACCGTTCCATTTTGGAAAGTAGCAAGGTACCCATCTTGTAGAAACAAAATTATTTTGCATGAAAAACATATATATTAAGGTGCATCCCTGCAATGTGTTATTGATGCCAGTGTTAGGGGAAGCACGTCTTACGAGAAGCATACCCTCAGAGAGGGTATTTGGTCTAAACTTTCACGCTTGGAAGAGGAGGTGGGTTTCTCCACACTTTACCCCATCGCTCGCAACTTAAACAATGTCAATGGAAATGGCGACTTCAACGTTGCGAGTCCTGCCTTCTAACAACCACCACCATCACCACCATTCAGATTTGAATATATCGAGTTATTCATCCCACTTTGTTAATCGCTAGACGGTGGTTAAGCGTGATGTGTAAGTTGCCAGCTGCAGCGCATTTCCCTGCGGATTGTTGTTGAGCGGCAGAAACAGCGTAGAAGGGTAGGGGCAGAGGAAGAAAATGTTTTATCACTGAGACTCAGCATTGAGAACGGGGGGGGGGGGGGGATTTGAGAATAACTTGGGGGGGGGGGGGGGATGCAGAGAGTGTAGCGCGCCCAGCTTGTGTTGGCCACGCGTGAGAAACACGTATTCTTGTTGTCGAAATCACGGAATGCTTCCCTGCCCGCAAAAATACCGCGAGCATTTTGTCGCTGATGGTTAGCACATTTCCACGCCAGACGCCGTTTGCCTGCGTGGAAAGCGTGGGCGTGATGAGGAATGCCCCGGAGGAGAGGGGGGGGGGCAGGGGGGTGGGGGCCCCCCTAGCGTGGCCCGCTCACAGGGGTCTCGCCCCGACCTCTGCTCCTCCCGTTTCTCCGTGGCGCACGCACGGCACGGAGAAACGGGCGCGTTACCGTGGGCCCGAGCGAGCGAGCGAGGGAGCCAGCGTCACGCTCCCGCTCGGACAAATTAGCGGCGTGTTCTCCAGGTAGCGGCGCGGCGGTTTGTGAACGTTTTCACCCCTCGCCTCTGCGGTTTTTTCCTTCGGCTGCCAGGCGCACTTACGGTTCGTTTTTGGGAGTCGAGAAGATTACATTGAGAGCCCCCCCCCCCCCCGTTTGTGATTTTAGTGCCGCTTGGCGAACGCGCGCTTGAGATATAATTTGTCTGACGGGGTGAGCTCAATTTAATTTAGCTGTAGAACGTCGTGATTGTGCAGCAGCAAATGAAGGCGTTGCTATGATAATAATTAGTTATTAATTCAACTAGCCCTGATTTGAGGTTTTTTTGGGGCCTTGTAATCATTATGAACTCCACGTAATATATTGGGTGTATGGAAAGGAACTATGGAAAATTAAACGCAAGTACCATACTTTGTGGGTGTATAATCTGGTGCAAGCAATGCTTCTGATAAATGTGACAACTTCAACATATTCACACCTATAACTAAAACGCCTCAATTGTGCCCAATATAAGAAGCTCAGCAGGATTTGAACCCTGGTTTTGAGCACTTGGATTGGTGACCATCAGGGCTTGCCACGGGGGTTGTAGGCATGCGGCCTGTGAGGTTGCGTGCCGAGCATTATCCAGCTTCTCCACTTTCATTTCCCAACGCGAAGCCAACACACCCGTTTTATTCGAATTTGCAAAACCGTCCCAATGCTGTTCCCCTCCTGAAAACGGAAATTCTGAAAACCTCGGCGAGACTTTCCCCTGCAACAGCAACAACAACAACAATTGATATTTGAAATGATTGTGAAAGTTTCTAGTTCGGGCGTTGCTTGCACTTCAGTCAACGTGTCTGTTTTTTTTGCTCTGTGCTTGCTTCAGCGTTGCACCCTAAAGGGCTATAAACGTCTGACGTCAGGGTAGTTTAAGCTCTCAGTCTCCAATTAAATAAAAATTGTCCTAAATGGGTTCCAGACCGGTATGTGACATTTGCAAAACCCAAAATCCACCACGACAGTACGGTAATAATTTTCAGTTTGGTGAGTTTTTAATAAAACATGAATTCAGCTGTGCAAGTCTTTTTGAGTTTCTAGAATATAATAGCCACTGCTTACCCAACAAAAAAAAATGTCTGCAAATATATATTCCGTTATTATGTTGGGGTGGCTTTGATCTCAACCTCGACATTATACACACTTTGTTTGTAATGGAATATTTATTTTAAATATTTGTCTAATAAAAAAAAAACTTATATTTTAGATAAATGGGATGTAAAATAGAAATACACAATTGTATGTTATGAGTGTTATATGCGACCAAATGATTTAACAGTGTGGAGTGGACGTGCCTTGCTGGTGCACTGCCCTGTGAACTTGACAACCTAAGTTTAATTCTAGCTTCAAGAAAAATCAATGACGAGCGATATCTTTAAACTATATAAAATATATATGTTACCAGGTAAGACCCACTGAGCTATATAGCTCTTTCAGAAGTGACCTGACCACAAATGATATCTCAACAAAGTGGCTTATCACGTGGAAATTTATAGCAGCTAAATACTCTAAACGAATGTTGAGGACCCGTAGAAAAATCCACGCGACCACGGGGAGAGAGACGCGCAAACTCCAAATATACAGGCGTCGGGATTGGGATCAAACCCACGACCTCCTACAGTATATACCAGGCGAGGTAGTTAACATCTTCGACCGTGCTGAATCCGATCTGATCCTGCCCATCCTACACACCCCGCTTCACCAAACCAATGTTCAAATGAAAAGAACGATGACAAAATTACCCAGAATGTGCCTAATAACATGTAACAATGTTTAGTTTCATGAGGAACCACAGACGACCTGGAAGTCAGCCAGGCGGTGTAAGCCTGGCGCCAACAATGGTCCCACCTCTGTGGTCTCATCTCATCGGTTCCTTAAAGCCAAGCGGGGTTCGATCGTGGATAGTGCTTGGAAGATTGACCCACGACGCGCAGACGTTGTTGTCATCAGGCTTACGGGGCTACGTGGTGACCATCAGTGGGCAGTGCGTTCATGTTACATGCTGATACTCAACTACTTGCTCACATTCGACTTACGAACTTTCAGAGATACGAACAAACATGTTAATATGTCCAGTTGTCTGTTCGGACCGAGAGTCGTAAGTTCAACTGCCGCCCCCCCCCCCCCCCCCCCCCCGCAATAGATGGCAGTGGTAGCATCTCCATCTGTGGAACATGCAGAACTAGTGGTATCTACATCTACAGGAGTTTATGCAACTTGTACAGCCATTCCCCTTGTTTAGTGTACACGCCGTACAACATGTTTGGTATCGACGGGAGTAAAGTTGGACTCGCGAACAAAAATCGACTTACGAACAGACCTCTGGAACCGAACTCGTTCATAAGCAGAGGCGTCAGCTGTAATGTACTTCCACGTGCACGCTTCCACGTTCACCAACCCGCACTGACCAGCGTGGTGAAGCACAAACTTGAACGGAGCGATAAGTGCATAATCCAGCCGTGCGTGCACGTGAACTGAACAACCGGTGTCTGTGAATATCACCGGCACAAAACAACGATGACAACATCTCGATTGAAGCTGGTGTTCGTCAACGTCCCTTGTTCCCCCTCCCCTCCTCCCCCAAGGTTTGCAACGTTAATCCACAGTCTGCGTGACGGTCTTAAAGCAGTGAAGAAACATGAGACCGCGCAAATAGAGTGAATGCTTGCGCGCCGACGTTCGAAAGCGTGGAGGGACGTTAATTTACTGACCTCACTCAACTCCCCCCCCCCCCCCCGCCACTAACCCTCTTCCCCCCTCCAGTAATTACCCTAATTTTTATGGATCTCGTGCAGAGAGCATTTGCTGAAGCCTTGCAGATTTACCCCGCGATTACACCGCAGGAAATGAAATGCAGATTTTTGACAGCTGGACTGTTTCTGATTTCTCTCTCTCTCTCTCTCTTATTCCTTCTCTCCCCTACCATTAGAGCTGAAGAGACAAGTAACCCTCGCCCTATTGGACAGCACAGGTATGAACGCGTGTTCAGTGTCAACTGCGAGTTTGCACCTCGTGGCCCGTCTCCTCCTTTTACGGCGAATGGAAAGGACAGTCGACAACTGTGTGCCTGCGTTGTGTATCGCTGTGAACGTGGGGAGCGGTAGCGCAGCAGGCCAGCGCCGCGCTACGAAACCCAGCGACTCGAGTTCGATTCCCGCTCACGGCCAGCACCGGTGACGATTATCTGAATCGGTCCGGGGCCTTCCCTAGGTCAGCTCTGCCTCAAATAAGCACCTGGTGTCGTGTGTAAGATATCGCCACTGTGGAGACAAAGGCGGACGGGCGTGGTGTTGGTCACCCACCCCCTCGTGTGCCATTCCGGGCTTCATAGGCGCTCGCCTATGAGGCTACATAGAGCGTTTTTGTCTTTGTACTGAGGATACAAAGGCAGTTAGGCATGGTGCTGATCACACACCCACTTGTTCACCATGCTGACTTTACTAGGTGACTGCTGACAACTCATTGTGCTGACAGTTTGTTCAAGGCTGTAAGGGGTAACTTTATCTGTGTGTGTGTGTGTCATGTGGTTAGCACTCTACCATAATTCCTGGCCATGCACGACTGTGGCTTCTAGTAATGTACGATAATTGGCACCATACACTCAATTTGATGGACTCAGCCTTAAGTGAAATACTTGCCATGATGTGTCAGACAAATGCAGGCGGTCAGGCGAGCACGGTGCTAACCACACCACCGTCTCGTCGACTGTGCATCACCCACATCCTCTCTATATCCAGACAAATGGAAGGTTATTTGTTGTACTTCGTAATGGCTGTATGCAATTTCATGTGTCTTGTATCGTAATATGCAGTGTAAAGAAACACGTGACCAATTACAATTGCGGATTCTTTTTTGGGATAGCATACAGATGCTTCACATTGATGATAACCCAAAGGTCAAAGCGTATGACCAGGATACATAAATGCATAAACTTGCACATTCGTATGCACACTGATACATTAATTCCTTGATTCCTGTGCACATACGCGGAGATATTAATGGTTAACTTCCAACGCGGACACATTCAGGCACGTGTAAGCATAAACCAGGGTAGCTTCAGATGTGAACTTAATTTCTTCGTGAAGAGCTGCTGCGGAAGACAACGGAGGGATGATAGGAGCCGCCCTAGGACTTTTAAAGTGTTGTCCCCGGCATGTCGGGGTTACTGTTCACGCAGTTCATTCAATACTCTTGGGAACGCCTGATGAGGACTACGGCGTAGGCTCCGTATTTTGCTTTTGTTTGCACTTGGCAGTGGCAGCCTTTTTACACGTGCGTAGATGCGTCCAAATTGCGACCCACTCACGTGTGCCCCCACAGGTAGGCAAACGCAGACAAAGATCCCCTGTCTAGCCTGTAACAGACTGTTGGGGCAAGTGCTGTTAGCGAGCACCTATGAAGACCGGCACGACACACGAGGGGGGGGGGGGGGGTGGCCAGCACCACGCCCGACCACCTTTGTCTCCCCAGTGGCGATAGTTTACACACCGCACCAGGTATTCATTTGAGGTCGTGTCGACATAGGGGGAAGCCCAGGACCGGTTTTCAGATAATCATCACCGGTGTTGGCCTTGAGCGGGAATCGAACTCGGGTGGCCGGGTTCGTAGCGCAGCGTAAGCGCTCACCGCTACGCCACTGCTCGCCACGAGCAAGCGCACGCACCATCACGCACTTGCGCACACGAACCCCATTGGCATTTCCACGTGATCGTCCCCATCAATCCTTATTCCGCCCGTGCCCTGTTGTTGCCATGGAGAAAATCCAGCGCGCCCATTAACACGGGGGCCGCGTAAACGCGCGCCCAACAAAATCGGCACACCCCCCAGCCGCCTCCGCCGCCGCCGCCGGAGCGCTCGTGTTCAGACCCCCCTGAGCGAGGTGGTCCCTGCGGTTGAGCCCCGCGCGGTTGCGCCATCTCCCGTCGCCGCCGCCGCCGCCGTGTCCACACGTGCGTAAACGATTGACGAGCGCAAACCGTGACGTTTGTCGTCGAGATAGACACGTTGCCCACCCCCCGTGTTTGGCAGAAGTTTGTCTCCATGGACAGCGGACAACGTCCGTAAAAAGAAAGGGAGCGTTTCTTATCCCCGTAGTTTTCGTGTCCCACCCAGACGGCCTGCATAATTGGAGTTTGCGTGCCTCTCTCCCCCCATGGTCGTGTGGATTTTCCTCCGCATTTAGAAAGATGCTCTGAGAGTATTTGGCTGCTCTACATTTTACACGTGATAAAGCCACTTCGTTGAGCTATCAATTGTAGGCCGGGTCGAGTCTGAAAAAAGAGAGATATATACAGTAGCTCAGTGGGCCTTACCTGGTAAAATAAAAATAGCTTTAGTGTGGTTGCTGGAGGATCTCCCATCATATTAGCAAACCGCATGTTCGCTGCATCGCGCGTGCACAGCCCGGCGTGTTTGCGCCCGTGGGGAAAGAACGCGTGCTCGCACGTACGCTGGTGAACCGGTGCACGTGGGCAGAATGACGATGTCGCCTGCATGCTATGATGATCAGTGTAAACACGGAGTTTTGAGATTTTTATGCTGATAATACGATTAATGCTGGCCAGGTTGCTCAGCGGGAGTGAGCATCTCGCAGTCGCAAGGTTGAGAGTTAAAATCATGGTCTGGAGTTGACTCAGCCCATCATCCCTCCAGGGTTGATAAAAAAAAGAATTACCGCTTTGCGTGGAAGTAAACAATGGCTGTCCTATGAATATACTCACTACGTCACAATGTGGAATTTCAAAGACTGGATGATGGCTGTAAAATGGAATATGAGCTCCATGTCAACGCTCATTTGAGCAGAAAAAAAAGTAAAAAAAAGTAAGATTAAGAAAACCCGGTCAGGTGATGCTGTGCAATGAGAGCGGATTGTTCAACTCACAATTGGAAAGGTCCGAGTCCTGGTCAGAGATCACTCGGGCTCATCATCCTTCCGCTGTCGATAAAATATGGACCACTTTGTTGGGTGGGGACCTCCGGGCGTCCAATGGAGAGGGAATGAGATTATGGAATTTCCATCAATGGTTCAGGACTGCCTATGGAAATGAGTGCCATACAATTGTTTGCTCGAGCAGGGAGGTACTTTGATTTGAGATTATTAAGTGTATCACCATTACCACTGACCTGTAATGAACCAGTCTGCATGGATGTAAGAGTTCGATTCCTACAGCTGCTGACAAATTGCCGTTGTGAATGTATTTATGTTGAACTTCTTTTGCACCTTACGTAACCAGCCGTGATAATCGGAGGTGCGGGGGAAGGGCAACAAACTAAACAAAAGACAGTTCTCAAGAAATTAGTTTTAAATTTAGACACAAACATGCTGTGTGATTTTAAAACAGCTCCTCGAAGGGAGGAATTATCAATTGCAATGATCAATTATCCGCACCTCCTATTAGCATGGTTGGCTATGTATGGTGCGAAAGAAGTTCAACTTGCACATGTACAAGTGTAGGTCTTCGTGTCCTTTAACCAGCCACCCTGACTGTTTCATCTCATCCATACTGTGATCAACCACCACATTTTATCCCTCGCACCGTTCGACTTCGGAATTCCCGTCCCATTGTCTCTCTTTCAAAAAGCTCTCATAACCTTGCTCAGCTCAGGAAATGTGTTAAACGTTCTCTTACTACAACTTTGATTCTTTTTGTTAATTATTTTCTTGTTTACCCAGGAGAGCCTCGTCGAATGAATCTCGTGACTCCCTCTCCTTCCGCAAGTTTTCATAGCAGGGGGCGGAAAATTGCTCTCGATATTCCAATTGAGTAATTCGCGAGCAACTTTTCAAATTTGGAACCATGACGCCGGCACACAATGCGTCTACTCTTGCGAACGGACGTTACGAGATCTTTGACGCCCACTGGGATATTACGGTTCATACCACACCACAGTACGAGGCAGCACAGCCGCTAAAAATTCGAACCGTGAACCCCCCCCCTCCCTGCAACAATCGGTGACCGCACGACCCACAAGGCCATGTTATTGCCCCCCCCATTGCTCGTGCTTGTTTGTTGCTAGCCGCTAGACGTCTTGGGCCTTTTGGGGTTGTGCTCAGTAACTGTTCAAAAGCAATGCAAAAAAAAGATAATTACCTGTAAAACAGTTAAATCAATCATGAATGCCCTGTCGCTCCAGTAGCCACGATTCTCTTTGCAAAGATACGAGCTCGTTCTCACCTATTTAAAGCACATAACGAATCAAACATGAATGGCAATGTTTAATTTTGTTCTGTAGTTTATGGTTTGAATTAGCGCCATTATTAATAACCACTCGTGAGCCCACAGTCATTTGCCTTAAATGGCATTTTTTTGTGATCTGCTCTCGCGTATAAAAGGGGAAGGTGTGTTTCCCATTAACTCTGAAACCCACCCGCACATTCCATCCCCAGAGACACACTGGCAATTACAATGAGCCCACGGTTAGTGTGGTACTTCACACAAAGACAAAGATCCCCCGTGTAGCATCTAACAGACTGTCATGGGCCACGGGCTGTTAGCGAGCACCTATGAAGGCCGGCACGGGCACACGAGGGGGTTGGTGGCCAGCACCACAACCCAGCCGCCTTTGTCTCCCTCGTGGTGATGTTTCCACACTGCAGCCAGGTACTCATTTGAGACTGATTCGACCTAGGGGGGAGGCCCAGGACTGGTTCGGATAGTCGTCACTGGTGTTGGTGGCTGTGAGCGGGAATCTCACTTGGGTCACGGGGTTCACAGCGCAACGTGCTAACCCACTACATTACCACTTCATACACACACAGCCACACTGCTTACTAAAGTGCTGTATGTACATGTGCAGTATAGAAAAACGTTCAAACCCATTGAAACGGAAACAAAGATTTCCTGTGTCGTGTTATAAGCTATATGAGGCAAGCGATGTTAGAGAACACCTATGAAAGCTTTTTGACTTTTATTGTTACACTTGTTTACCTGGGAAAGCCTCACCGGGTAACGTGACTTTTTCATGAGGGTCCTGCCAGGTTCTTGAAGTAGGGCCGTGATGATTGCGATGTATATTCCAGTTGAGTAATTTGCAGTTTAGCTTGGCGAATTTGGACCTTTGCGCATGATGAGCCTCCTCTTTTCCAATGAGCAAGAAGGCTTTTTTAACGTCCAATTTGAAGTGGATGGCACGGAATATTTAGTTATTTCGGTTATACAGCAGCACCTATAAACAGGGCAGTTGTGGGATTCGAACTGTAAACTTCTACCACTGGCCCATGCAAAACGAGGGGCTGGTTGTCAGTAACCCTACCTCGTCACTCTCGTCTTTACATACCATACCGGGTATTAATTTAAGGCTGAGTTGACCTCGGGGAGACCCAGGACAGTTTCAGGTGCCACATGCCACTGATGCCAAGAATTGTACCCAGGTCGCTTGTGGTGGGTGTAACAAGTGGGTGCTCCCACCTCTTCCAAGTCACGTGGCCAGTGTGGAAGGGTAGGCCGTCATTTCCCTCTTTAGGGGGCTCTCTCGTGCTCCCTCCAGTGGGGGGGGGGGGGCCTTCCACCAGCAGTGGGCCGTGAGCGAGCAAACCCGAGCCTTCCTCGCGTATTATCCGCGGATGACGGCGCGTGACGGAGGGAGGAATCGCCCCGCGTGCGCGGACGCGGACGGGACGGAGTTTTGCCCCGCGATGCCGGCGGGGCGATGCCAATTTCGCGATCCGACTTCCGCCCTTCAGACATCGGGCAGCAGACGCGCAGGGACACGGCCTTCTCGCAGGCCCTGGTGGGCGCCGTCTGCGTCTTTTCGGAGCAGCTGCTGTCGGCGCTGACGCGCACCTACAACCCGGGCCGCGACTACGAGAGCCGCGGCACGGAGGCGAGTCGCCGCTGGCTCCAGCAGACCGCCGGCCTCGGGGCGCTCGTCAGCTTCCGCTCGCTGCTCTCGCCCCACCTGGTAGGTGTGGCCGCGTCCTGCTCCGCTCCGCGTGGCTGGGATAACTAACTCGTGCGCTTGCGTCTCTGTGTTTGCGGGGAGCACCTAATGAAGGCCGCCACGGCACGCGACGTGGAGAGGGGGCGAGGAGGTGGCCAGAACCACGCCCCGGGGGGGGGGGGCCCCCCCTCCTTTGTCTCACCATAGGCGCTGCTCGCTAACAGCACTTGCCCCAACAGTCTGTTAAAGCTACGCGGGGGGATCGTTGTCTTTGTGCGGGCAGCGGCAGTGTAGCGGTCGGCGCGATGCGCCATGAACCCGGCAGCCCGAGTTCGATTCCCGGTCACCGCTAACACCAGTGATGATTATCTTGAACCGGTCCTGGGCCCTCCCCGAGGTCGACACAGCCTCAAATGAGTAACCCGGTGCAGTGTGTAAACATCGCCACTAGGGAGACAAAGGCGGCTGAGTGTGGTGCTGCCGTTCTGGCCTTCATAGGCGCTCGCTAACAGCACTTGCCCCAAAAGTCTGTTAAGGCTACACGGGGGTCTTTGCGTGGAGTGGAGGCGAAGTGGTTAGGGCACCGCCTTATGAACACAATGACCCGAGTTCTAGATATCTTAACCGGTCCTTGGCCTCTCCTAGGTGAGTGTCCGGTGCAGTGTGTAAGCATCAGCATTGGGGAGACAAAGGTGGCTGGGTGTGGCGTCGGCTACCCCCCCCCCACCACCACCCCCTTGTGTGCCATGCCTGGGGTCTTTGTCTACGTCTAAAAGCCTAAATTCTTGATGTTTGTCGATGTACTTTTGCGTGTGGGACACAAATCGCATGGTAGTTGTAGGAATCACATCTAAATGCCATCACAGAATAACCCGCACACAGTTTGAATGCGCATTCAGGTGGCCCAGTACATATCCCCGCTGTGTTTGAACAACCGTTCTCAATTTCCTTTCCTGAGACTGTGGGCATGTTTCAAGGCATCTCACAACGTCACACTTTTCAATGTCCCCCTGAACGTATGACGTCTGGATTTTATACGGCAAGATGATAACGTTCCGCTCTTGCGTATCTCGTTCGCAAACGCGTTGCACGATGACATGGCATCACTCTGAGACTTATTTTAAATGCGTGCGGAAGGAGCAATAATTTAGCAATAAATATGCAAATGCGCGAATATAGTGATGGTGAATTAAAAATCTTGAGATGGGTGGATTTATGTTGGCATTTTTATGCGATGCTTGCCAGATTTATTGACCTATATATTTGAGGAGGGAGGAGTGGGGGGCGGGGGGTACAATCGCCACCATGCTGGTACCCACCGTCCTTGCTTCTATACCGCCTCCCCCCAACTCAGCGTCAGTGAAGGGAGCGATCCGCTAACAGCATCTGACCACGTGCTCCCCAAGGGCCTTTAAAAGGAAATGTATTTCTCTTTGTCTCATGCGATGGGTGTACGCGTGCCTGACACTGCGCTTGCACACGCATGCACGTGTGCAAGCGTCCGGTCGAACGCTTTGGGGAGCGGGAGCGCATCGGTGTTAGCGCTACGAACCCGGCGACCCGAGTTCAATTCTCGCTCACGGCCAACACCGGTGACGATCGTCTGAAGTGGTCATGGGCCTCCCCTACATCGACTCGGCCTCAAATGAGTACCCGGTGTGCGGTGTGTAGTAAACATCGCCGCTGGGGAGACGATGGCGGTCGGGCGTGATGCTGGCCACCCCACCCCCCTCGTGTGCCACTCCGGCCTTCATAGGTGCCGCTTGCTAACAGCACTTGCCCCAACAGTCTGTGAAGGATGCACGGGGGATCTTTGGCTTTGGTCGAACGCTTGAGCGCCGCGTTCACGCGCGTCCCTGTGTCCTCGTGCGTGTTTGCATGCCTAATTGCGCGTGCGTCCTTTGTCTTCGCGATGGGTCGCGCCGGTTCACGTGGGCTCCCGGACCCAATTAAAAGAGATGGCGTGGCCATAAAATACGTCGCATGTCGGTCTAATAATGAAACAAAAGAAATCTGCGGAAAGTGATTGCAAAAAAGACCACCTCGCAAAAGACGCTGTCCTCGTCGCAGAGTAAGATAAATAAAGCATAATTAAAAAAAAAACTGAAAATATTCGCGCAAACAATGTGCGCGAGCGTACAGCGTGCGCGCCATGGGCGAAGGTGCCCGGACAGAAGCTGATCAAATAAACGAGGCTGTAAAATTCCAGTCAATGGGAAGTGTCTGTGCGTCACAAAGCGCACAACCCCAGCGCCGGGCTATCTGTCTGCAGTACTAAAATACACTTACGTGACATCACTAAGGCGAGATTGTCCGGCCCGCATTGCCCCGCACGCTGCATGCAAAGGCGCAAAGCGCACGCAACGAATTCCGGCAACGCCGTTGGCCTGTGCTGCGGCGTGAGCTGTCGGCCAAACCAGACGTAAATATTTAATGTGTCCTTGAGTGCGGCGGCGAGCAGTGCCATCTGGTGGGGCTTCTTGGCCCTGGTTCTCATCAGTGTGAGTTTGAAAAATGTTGGAAAGTTCATGCTGGGTGCAAGTTACTCCTAGCTTTGTTGGTTTGGTGTAACCTTACAACATTTCACTTCAGGTCACTTTGGGGCAGTCGGGATGGGTGGCCAGAAAATGGCAGGCAGTGTTGGGTGTTATCCCCCTCCCTCCACCCGTATGTGTGGGTTTCCTCCATGTACTCTGGTTTTCTCCCACCCTGGTAAACACGAAGTCATGGTCTTGACCAAACGTCCCAGATGCACGTCCTTCCTGAATAAAGAGTTCCGAGACTCAGCGATGCTTTGGCGGGGGAAATAATTGCCATTGTTTTTAATTGCTGTTAACAGTGTTAAAATGCGTGCGACTACATTCTAGACGTGGCGTGGCCTAATGGCCGTGGTGCTGGCCACCCACCCCCTCGTGTGCAGTGCCAGCCTTCATAGGAGCTCGCTAGCAGTACTTGCCCCAACAGTCTGTTATGGGGGTTCTGTGTCTTTGTTTGTGTGTCAATGCTGAACGAATATTTGTGATTTTAGGCTTGAGTTCTAAACTAACCTTCTGGTGGAAAAGGTGCAGTGTCTTAAAATTCACCAGGAAAAATAAGAATTCGAATCGTCATTCACCGTTAATCGTCAGGAATGATAGCCACACTTATATTGGTCATAGCCAGCTATAAGGGTAGGTTCATGGGTAGCAAATACGAAACAAAATTGCCAATTCATTTTCCGAGCTCAGCAGTGCTGTTGGATTGGTGTGATCACACAGGCAGAATTCCTATAATACATATCTGAATAGAATTACAGAATTATTCTCTTTTATACCTTGGTTTTCTTGGTACTCTAGGTTTCCTACCCCATGTAAGAATAGGTAAAGGTGCAGCCCTGCAATTGCTTGGTCTCGCCACTGCTGGCAGAAGCCCGGGCCTCCACTGAGGAGGTTAGCTCTTGAGAGAAAAGCCCCCTTCTGTCGCCTACATTTCCACATTGGCCAGACATCTGGGAAGAGATTTTTTTAAATAATTCCTGACATAAATTGGCCAAACCTTCCAATGTTTTCAGCAGCTTGCTGAAAATGTCTCGAGTCTCAGTGAGTCGTTGCTGGTTAACACTGACAAGTACAAGAGTGTGCGTACCGTCTGTATAATTATGATGATTGGAAGTTATTCCTCACTCTTGTGTTTTGCATTGACGCTTTGAATCTTATTTCCGTTTGTGCGCATCTATGCGCCGTTTCAATGCTTGCCCTTGGACAGCATCTTGAACTGGTTATGATATTCGTCTGCGTAGCGATTTTAAATTGTTATTAATGTCATATTACCAGCGATAATGCACAAACCTCCAAGCATGACGCACTACTGCACAATTGTTTAATTTGGATTTGAACGCTTGTGGAAGCCCAAATAAAAATAGTAACCCAATTGGGTATTTTTTTTTCATTTTCTTGATGTAGTATTATTTTTATGCTTTTGAGCTTTTCGATTTAAAGCTTTCGTGACTGCAATGATTAATCTTCTTTGGTTCTTTCGGTAAAGTCACGTAGAATGAGAATAAAATAATAAATTGATAAAATAAAATAACACAATAATATTCTCACGACGTTTCGGCCACAACACAAGCGGCCTTCATCAGGTGAAGGGGGCGAGACTGTCTGGTAGGACAGCGCTTGTGTTGTGGCCGAAACGTCGTGAGAATATTATTGTGTTATTTTATTTTATCAATTTATTATTTTATTATCACCACTCCAGCGCTGTCCTACCAGACAGTCTCGCCCCCTTCACCTGATGAAGGCCGCTTGTGTTGTGGCCGAAACGTCGTGAGAATATTATTGTGTTATTTTATTTTATCAATTTATTATTTTATTATCATTCTACGTGACTTTACCGAAAGAACCAAAGAAGAAAAAGCTTTTGAGCTTGTTGAGTTTTGCAGAAGGAACCACGTAAATACACTATGATGGCGAGAGTTTAGGCTGGCGTTCCGGTGTAGCTGACGAGGCATTAAACCGAGCTCCTCTTCACCCTGTGGACATTAAACATCCCCTACCCCCCCCCCCCCGCCCCCTGCCCCCTGCCCCCTGCCCAGATAAGAACAGTGGATTTAATGCCGATGTGACCTGGCTAAAATTTCACGACGGCTCGAATAAAACATAAAATTATATCCTGGCCACGTTCCCCTCTGCTTGGCCAATTTGTACATAAATCTCCTCCCCCGGGTGTCGTGGCTTGTGATCGTGGAATCTGCCGGTTTGCTTCATCGATCCCGCGATGTGCGCCTTGAGACGTGGCCACGTGGGGAATGTGCGCAACGCATATTGCGACGTTGATGATGATGACTTTTAAGACGATTCTTCCGCCTACTCTCGTTCCAATTTAGGGATTTTTACGCAAAATCGGTGTTTATTTCAACGAAGAATTAGACCTAACTTGTATACCAATGCTGTAACACGATGAATGACTATACAGTGGAAAGTGTCTGCGGTTGTTGTTGTTGTTGTTCCACTGCTGAGCAAAAGTTTCATGCATCGCTTCCTTTCCTTCTGTTGTCCTTGTCCAGGAGTGGCTTCTGAATTCCGTGATTTCATCTCAGCATCTCTTCCGCTGCCCTCCTTTCTTCTCTCGGTATCCCCTCTCTCGTGCATTTTGTTAATCCCTTACAACTAAATCTTGACATAAAGCTTTCGTGATTGCAGGAATTCATATTCTTTGGGTCTTTCGGTCACAAAAATAACAAAAAAAAACTACGACGTTTCGATCGCAACACAAGCGGTCGTCATCAGGAAAACTAAACTTGTCAAAATGATCATAATGGGAGACAGCCAAATCTTGCATATTTCATCTGCAAAAACTGTTTCAGGCACAATGTTCAGGCGTAACCTTCAACAATGTGAGTTCAACCCCGGTGAAGCATGGAGAGCTCAATGAAGTTCAAAATAACTCACAAACAAACATCTTGTTATGAAAGACCCAACGCAGAAGATCGCTGGGTTTTGATCTTCCGCGAAGCTCATGGTCCACCCGAAACTGCATCCACTGCGCAAACCATGGCAGATGGGGATACCTGATGCACAATTGGAAAATAAAAACTCTCCAGTAGTGTGCGACTTGGGTCAACTAGAACAGTCCGTAATACGTATGACGACGCAATGGCCCGATCCGCAAATACGACATCGCAGCGATGATGCGCTACTCCGCTGCTCCCGATGCGGTTTTCTGGCTTGGCCGCCTGAATGTGAAATTGTAGTCTTTGCTCTGCATCTACATCAGCAGCCGTACGAAAGAAGGAGGATGGGGCACGATGCTGCAGTGTGTGTGTGTGTGGGGGGGGGGGAAGGGGGCTCGTACATCTCCGCTGTCCACCAACAGCTACGTTTCCCCAAAACTCGACTCACCCATTGCCCTCTCTCGTCCATCGCCCCCCTTTATTTAAATGTCAGACGCATTTCAATAATAGTGGCGAGGCGGAAATGTTCGATTGCTAACAGATTTTAGTGTTCTCTCTCCCCCATGGGGTTGTGCTTTTCCACATGTGGTGTGTGGGGCATTTCTCCAGCCCCCGCCCTCCCTGCCCTTTCCACTCTTCTTCCACGTGTTCTTTGCAGAAGTTTCGAGAGAGAGAAAAAAAGTTAACCAAATCCCTTAATTAGCTCAAAAACTCTGTTCGTTGTACATTTGCTCCGCGTTTTTTTCTTCCATTCGGTTCTTCCGTTCATTGTTGTTCCCTTTGCCTGCCTCGGTGTTTTTTTTTTGTTACAAAAAAAAACCAGCTCAATCGCTTCAAACAGTTTGGTCGCCAAGGCATATTCGAGCGATGCTTGAAATTCCAGATGGACAAGCGTGCTGAAAGGGATAGGGCCAAGAATAATAAATGAAAAACGGTAATTTTATTACGTTAACGAATGTCTGTTCTTTGGATTTAAATATAAGCCTCGTGTGTTCCTTCGAGACTGCGCATGGGAGTTTACATCTGCGTACATTTTGAACAGAAAAAAAAGAGTATCACTCTTATAATGTTTAAGCTGAAACAAATAGCTTTGGAACAATGGCGCAGGAGCAACTGATCAAGCTTTAACTCGACCTTCCCAAAAGTGCATCTCCTGCAATGGAGATCTCACTGGCGAGCTTGCTGACCTGCAGATTTTTCCAGACGCTAATTAAAATCGTACACGCGTGCGCGTGCGCGCGTGCGTGTGTGTTTTGGCTGATGAATTGTTCCACAGATTTGACGCTTTTTCCCAAGGCCATAACTGCATGAAAGAAGATCGTTAAGGAGCACTTATCACAGGTCACGAGTGGGAGTTGATTTTGCTCGAAAACGACCCCGTGGTTGTGCGTGGTGCAAGTGTTTACGTCACTGTGACACGAGTGTGTGGGTGTCCGGCATAAACACGCACACATGTGTATGCGTGTAGCGTGTGTGCGAACGGACTGAATATAAATTTAAACCAGTGCGCTTCCGACACCAGTTCCTGTTTTGCCTGGGCAGACATTTGTAGGCGGTGATACTTTTTCGGAGATGTTCATGCGCATCTCCAATGTCGCGTTGTCACGTATCTTCTGCAGGCCTTCCTTTAATGATGAAAAAAAAAATACCCGTGAATAACAAACACATCTGAGTGAGGTACACCAAGCCGTGGAAATGGCAACCCAAAGACCGTTATGATATTCAACTTTTACCTTGTTGCTGCTGCTGCTGCTGCTTGAGTGTGAATTAAGATAAGCAGTGGCTGACAGCAATGACTTACCATGTGCGTTTCTGAGCGTGTGCACTTCATACGTACAAATATTAGTGTGCACTCGTGCGTCTGAGAAATCGTTTCTCGTCTGGTGACATCCTTCGCCTCTCCCACGTTCAGCCACGACTATGAATCGTGTTTCACCGGGTTTTTACTTTGCTATTTGCCTGTAACCATTCGCTTATGGTGCTTCCAGTTCTCCATCCCAGTTGCGTTCCTACAAAAATTCATCTCACTTGCACAAATAACGCACAAAGAGGAATTGACCAAAGATGTTAAAAATAATAGGACCCTCTTGAAAGAGAGTCGTGAAGCTCGGTTATTATTTTTTCTCTCGAGTGAATGGAATGTGCTATTGAACTGTGAGTAGCGCAGATATTTGTGCGGCTTGTTCGCTCTATTAGCCTACGCGAAATGACATTGGCGTTCCATTTGCATGTCATTTTCACAAATTGATTCTCACACGTGCGGTTGTACGCGTGCGTCGTGATCGGGAGAATAGAATTTAATTAATAAATCGATTATTCCTTTTTTAAACACGGTGCTTCATTTCAGCTGGAACAGTCCAAAGCACTGTTCCTGGGAATTATTTTTAGATGTATTATTTTTGTTTATAAACCGGTGCAGAGGATTTAAGGAATAAGGTAAAAGCGCAGCTCTGCAATTGCATCCTCTTGTCGCTGCTGGCAGAAGGGGCCCCCACTCGAGAGAACTCTAGAGAGTATTTGGTCTACTCTTCCACGTTGACCTGACATGTTGGAAGAGATGGGCATACTGACACTCTACCCCCACCCACACGAGACCCGCCGATTGACCAACTGTGGTGGGCAGAGGCGGGATGGAATGAAGGAACTTGTTGCAACTGCCGCGTCGGCAAATCGAACTGGCAAACACCGGATTGCAAGTCCAGTACGCTTACCGTCACACCACGGCAACATTCCTATTATAGCAATAAAGGGTACAATGATACGGGATTGTTGTGAACTGGCCTACCATGTACGTGTGGTAGTGCCTCATGCCGATAATCCTACCTCCCGAAGCATCCTGTCAGCGTTGTGGAAAAACATCGAGTGAGAAACGAAGCCATGATCACACGGGATTACTGCTGCAAAAAAACGCGCTTTGGCAGGAGCCCTCCTCCTCCTTCTTCTTCTTCTTCTTTCGTATGGATGGGGGGGAGGGGGGAGTAACACTTTGTACAGATGATGTCATAGTTGAATGTTAAGGTCCTTTAAACCAATCCAAAGCGGCATCAGACGCCGTACGGATTGCAGCGACACACCGCCATGGTGTGCGTGAAAAAATCGCCTTGAAGACCCAGCGATGCCTTCTCGCGGTCAAACGAGCGGGATAGTAAATGAACGAATGCGCGCGCTTGTGTTTCAGCCGGACGAGCGCAGCATGCTGGAAGACACGGTCACCGCCCTGCAGGACGTGGAGAGGGTGTCCTTTGTCTTCCGACACGTGGAGAAGGAGCTTCCAGTTGCCAGTGAGGCCTCTTCACGCGCCGCGTGCTCATGCACGCGGCGCGGACGCACGCCAAACGCACATTCGCTTCGCCCCTCGCGACCGCAGCGCTGAGCGAGCGAGGCGTGCGTGCGACTGATGTGGCAGGTTGCAAGGGATTTTTTCTTCTTTCTTTCTTTTTTTCCGGATGGCGAACTCCGAATTTGTTAAATTTTGATTTAAAGCTTTCGTGACTGCAGTAATTCATATTCTTGGTTCTTTCGGTAAAGTCACGTTGAAGGGAAACAATAAAATAATAAAATATATATAACAATCAAAATTCTCACGACGTCTCGACCATAACACAAACGGTCGTCATCAGGTGTGTGATGACGACCGTTTGTGTTATGGTCGAAACGTCGTGAGAATTTTTATTGTTTTATATATATTTTATTATTTTATTGTTTCCCTTCAACGTGACTTTACCGAAAGAACCAAGAATCCGAATTTGTTGTTCGCCTGTTAAATGCGAAGGGCGCGGTGCCTTTTCTGTGTCTTTTCTTACCCTCGCTGGGGGTCAAACGCAACGGTGAGCAGAACCACGATGTAGATTTACACAAACTAATGCACCAGTGGGGGGGGGGTTGGTTCGGATGTTCTCCGGCTGTGATCTACCGAGCGGAGTAAAATACTTTTGTGGAAGTCGTCCTTAATTCAAACTGATATCTGATAATCTCCACCCACACCACTCTTGGCTGGTAAGTCCTTAATTCAAACTGATATCTCCACCCACACCACTCTTGGCTGGTAAGCACTCCCATCAACCTTAGCCACCCATATTCTTTAGTCCCCCCTGTCCACAATAGCAGGTCTTTGCCTCGGGTTTCCATTCATCCTGTCCGGCCTGGAGCTTTCGTCCTCATTTCACCACGCACCGCCTTCCTTGAAGTCATCGATCAGCATCGTCTCCTTCCTGCCTCTTGGCCTCTTTTCCGACATCCTTCCATCTTAGAACTTCCTTCAACGAGCCTTCACCTCGATAAAAAAGTGTCCATTCCACATCGGTGGCCTCTACTCGATTGTTCTGCTTCGGTTTCTCTCATTTCCCTTTCTCTCTGTCTCCATCAGATGCTCACATAGTGACACATTCCAGGCTTTTTACTGTATATCCACCCAAACTGACCATAATATCCACTACTGTCCCCTTGTTATCATATGCCTGAAGAAGGCCGTCGATCTTTCCTCTGTTATTTAAATTGTCCTGTTATTTCATTGTCTTCTCAAGATGTATGTATGTATGTATGTTGAACTTCTTTCGCACCGTACGTAGCCAACCATGCTAATCAGAGGTGCGGTTTTGAAAGTAGCATATTTTTGTGAAGATTGTTCGCTCTATTAGACTACATGAAATGGCATTGGCATATAATTTGCATATTTTCATGAATTGATTTTCACACATACGATTGTATGCATGTATTATGATCAGGAGAATATAATGTAATGAATGAAGCTGATATTGAAAGCTCTATAGTGGTGACGACAAGTTTATTCGATTGTGAATATGCATATCAGGCACCAAGTTTGAAACTGAATGGGGCTCCACTTCTTCAATTATTAAATAAGTCTAACAAAGCAATCGTACGCATTGTCACGATTCAAGAATGCAAATGTATTGAGTGTTTTTTTTTTACAATTCTGTGAATTATAATGATTGTATCGTAGCTACAGTGGTGACAAACCCATGAGATACAACATGCACGTAAATAACATCGATTTCTTATACGTGCAAATGTTTGCACTTGAGTCACGAGTCTTAAGAATCACTGTGAATCCATCAATTAATCGCTGCATCATTCGCCACCCGAATGCATGCACCGTTTGCTGACCGCTGCATAGGCAGCGGTGCACAGGCGTAGCCCAACCAAAAACAAACTCGGCACACTTGTCAACGACACTGCCCCAAAATATAGATTGATAGATTTAGATTGTATTTATGTCGGCATGAAGGGCCCAATAAGCTGCTTGGCTCTATTTCATTATTGTCCTGCCACTGTACAGTTGTAGAGTTCAGATCTTAAAATAAATATATCATCAATGACATTTCAGGAAATGGACCTTCTGCATACCACATGTGCTGTTGACCCTAATGTACGTATTATCATTATTCACCATAAAGCCATAAGTGGTCAGTGCTGTCACCACCTCGCCAAGTGCAATCGTATTATCTCAGTGAATGCAGCTCTCTCCCTGGCAGCGTTCTAGCTTCTATCCGGAGAAAGTTCAAGACCCTCTAACATTATACACAATGACTATCTTGCGTCACAGCCAACAATCCCAATCATTAAAACACAATCCCTCCAATACAAGTCATACTGGAATAACACCGACTATGTGAAACATGTTGGGCAACGCCTTGATGTGTTTTAGCAAATTAAAACACCAGTCACTCAGGGATTTGCAGTTCAGGTTTCATCTTGCGTGAAAATCACGGTTCTATTATTGGCAAAGTGAATGCTGCAAGGACAAGTGTCATCCTGTAATTGAGATCCCTGGTGCTCTCCCACTCAACTCACATGTGCTACCTGTTGAGAACATTACTCATTTGTCAGCTGTAGGTTCTCGACAAATACCCCCTGGTACTGGATTCATTTCAACCCGTGATATGTTTTTTCTCTCTCTCTCTCAGAGTTTATTTATACATTGCAACTGTTTTTTTTAAGCGTGCTTGAAATCGCTCATTCAAAACACGGTACGAAACAGTGAGGATGATTTTTTTTCTTCTTTTTAACATTGCATCCTCTATGCCAGGGCATCTCATGGAGCTTTATGTATCAACACATTTTAAAGGGGCACTCCCAGTGACTCAGCACCTGGCCATGAAAACAGGCATTAGTCTGCCAGTAAGGGGACGATGCTTGCCATGTACAATTCCCATTGACGTATGTGTGGGTAATTTTTTTTACTTGAAAAATTTGGACCCTCACAGAGACAAGATATTGGCACTCTAAATGTATTGCTGCCGAAGGATAATGCGTCTAAGCTGGACCCAAAAGTGGCCAACATAGAAGTTATAAAGAGGTTGTACATAGAAGACAACCCGAGGATGCAGGCAGTGGTGAGAAGGAAACTGGCACCTATGTAGAATGGACAACAACTATAAATATTCTTAGCTCTTTCGGTAAAGTCACGTTGAAGGGAAAAAAATTAAATAAAAATATTGTTTTATATATATTTTATTATTTTATTGTTTCCCTTCAACGTGACTTTACCGAAAGAGCTAAGAATACGAATTACTGCAGTCACGGAAGCTTTAAATCAAAACAACTGTAAAATTAAAAGTGTCTAGTTCGGGAAACAGAAGGAACCAGAAAGAGTGGAGGCCCTAACAGGGAATGGCTTGATGACGACACAAGAGACTTGTGCCAGAAGGATGTTGCACTACTTGAGCATATTGGCACAAGATGGAGAAACATTGGAAACAAATGACAAAATGTTGCAGCGGACACCAACGATGATGTCGATGGGTTCCCAATGCCGTCACGCAGTGGCCCACTCTTGCAAACGTCGTCAGGGGATCATTAACAGCCACTGTGAGTGAAGCAGGCTGTGCGTAGTATCACCACGGCTATTGCACGCGTAGTAACAATGGAGGTGGCCGCTGGATTTGAACCGTGAACCTCTGATAAGGAAGCGGACGCGCTACTGAGAGGCCACGTGAGGGCCCAGTTTAATTGTTGGTAACATATTCACTCTCGCCTTCTTACAATGAAGCTCTGCCGTCCCTGGAAAGCTAATAGTGGCAAGGGCCCCTTGCACTCTCAGTAACTATGTGTTTATATATACGTACACAGTATCCAGCATTCGCAATTGACGTGAATACTATACGTACAATGTTCCCTTGCTCAAGCAAGTGCTTTTTTATTATGAATTAAATGATGATTATTTTATTCGTAACATCAACGATATGAGCTTCGAATTATGTAGAAGCTGCTACATTTTTTTGCGATGTGAAAAATAGAGCTTCTTAAATTGTATCACGGGATGGGTTAACTGTTGCACGTCCAGCGTTACAATTGGGGGGAAAGGCTCTCCCGGGTTATATTTTCCATCGTAGTGCATTAAACATTATTTTTTGATATGCGTGCAAAGCACAAGAGCAAAAACTGAGCAAATTTGTCATTGACACTGCCCTAAAATAAATGATATACGTATAATAAGTTATGCTTAGGGCAATGGCCCTTCCTCATGTATGTGCTATGAGGAATTCGCAAATTCCAGCATTGTATTAATCGTATGCTACGAGGAAGGACCATTGTCCAAAATATTGCCTCTGACCTATACCGTATTTTTTCTCTGTTCGGGAAGTATTTTTTTGCCGAATGTGTTGAGTTGTTTTCGTTGCTTGTTATAGCAGTGCATTGTTGTCACAACGAGTTCACAGTGTGCAAGTGTAACACGTGTCACACTTGCTGCGGCTGGGCTCTCCAACACACCGGCGGTGTGTGCTGTACGAGTAACGAATTGGCACGCTCTGTTTTACGTGACAAACCTTACTAATTGGCTGTGTCGGGTGGTGGCGGGTTTAACGACACATTTATATATTTACGCGATCTAACCCCAAAAGAAACCCTGTATTATGGGTAACGCTGGCGTGTGCGGCTGCTGACAAGCCCGCGTGTTCCGCGTGGTGCAGACATGCCCATCACCTACCAGGTGGAGGGGACGCGGCAGAGCGTGCGTGTGGCGTTCTGCCTGGAGGGCAGCTACTTCTCCATGCTGCCGCCGAGGCTGCAGATGGGAGCCGCGGTGCGACTGCACCCTGTGCTCTTTACCCAAGGTGTGTACACTCACACGTGACTATGCACACACACACACGTGTAGGAGCGGTGGAGCAGCGGTTAGCACACCGTATGTATGTATTTTGAACTTATTTGGTACTGTACGTGGCCAACCGTGCTACTCGGTGGTGTGGGGGAAGGACAACAAACTAAACACAAAAAGCTGTTCTAAAGGAATTACTTTTCAATCTATATTAAAAAGTGCATAGCTCCAATGGCTTCATAATATCGGAAGGAAGAACGTTCCAGTCGGACGCGGAAGCGCATCTGAAAGCGTTGTGATGCGGTGATCACCGTCTTTGTTCGATGGCCAGCCAGAAGCCTCTGCTGCGAGGATGGCCGTGAGAGTTCGCGTGATGGTTTATGTTCCTTGACGAGATGAGCAAGGTATTGTGGTTCATTAGTGGACAGCACTCTGTGTAATGAGTGCGACCTTATAACCACACTGTGCTATGCACCGAGTGATCTGAGTTTGATTTCTAACCACAGCCAACATCCATCGTGAGTGATTTTTTTTAATCGGTCCTGGGATCCCCCCCCCCCCCCCCCCCCCCCGCCTTCACTGACCTGTACTAACCAGCTTGGTGAAGTATGGTCAAATCAGCCCCATGAACGGCAGGACGTGGGCAAGCCTTCATACAGTGGTAAATTGACAGAGGCTGTAAATAGTATTTGTTTAGGATGTATTGTACAGCCATTCGAAGGCCGCCTTATGCTGCTGTGTTGGAAATGGGGGTTGTTTGACCATACCTCACCATACCGGTGTCCGTGGTGGAGGTGAAGGGTCGGCCCGGGACTGGTTCAGCTGTCACTTGTCGCTGAATTTAGCCACACTCAAGAATACTTTAGGTGATTTATAAATGTGTGAAGTTATATCATACGTGAGAGTCATTGGTGAATAATTACGTGTGAATCTGCCAATGTGAAATAACTACGAAAACATGTAAATACATATGGTAACCTAAAACGATATCAATGACCTTTCTGAACTCATTGATTGTGAACAATGCGGGTTTACGTCACGCGTGCAGAGCGTCTTGTGATATATATATTTTTTTTATTCGCTTGCAGTTACTCGCTAGTTAGGATACCTCACACAATGAACAATCGGTTAAAATATTGACGTGAGTTCATTATTCATGACATAAATTTTTCAGGACCATGTTGGGTCAGGCAACGGATGGGGTGTACACCTGGTTGAAACAAACTTCAACAAGCGGGGTTAAAGTGGCCAAAACAAGGTTGAGAACCACTGAGTGTAGAGGCATAGACGGCACAGAAGGGAAGGAGATACTAATCTACTATTTCGGATTTATACGGGGGGCTTCAAAAAAATGTGAACACTTAGGAGAATTTGCAACAACACCACGTGACACGTGCTGCAGCCTCCGGGCTCTGGAGATCACCTGGAGAAGATTCCAGGCCACGTGTTGACAACGATGGCGAACACAAGTGGGGAGACTCTTTGACTTTTTGAAGCAATTAACATTACATTTGTTATCACGTTACAGTGTTATCATCCGTTCTTTTTCCATTAAAAACGATAGTACCATGTTAACATTTTTTTAAGCACCCCTTTTCTAGGGCGCTTTAAAATGCAAGCCTAGATCCCGAGCAGCCCCTGGAACTTATCTTGAAGGAATTTTTACATAACGCCTTAACAACGGAGCTTTACGAGGAATTAGCGGCGGTACATACGAAGGTTAATGGTTGAAGTGGGGTGAATGAAATGGATGAGAGGAAGCAATGGGGGGAGGAGGGGGGCAAATCCTTGGTGATGCGTGACATCGGTGAAAGCGACATTGATGACGGGAAATGATGATGATGGTGGTGAATGTATCGAATGAATGGGGAATGAGTGAGAGCCATGTGATGAGGAAGTGAAGAGGGAAGAGTCACGGTTGTGGTTATGAGGGGGGGGGGGGGGGGGAGACTCAGGGGGTCGTGGGGTGAGCTAGGGAACAATCGGTGAGTTGTGAGTGCGGAGCTGAAAGCAGTGAGCGAAGGTGACTGCTTGATGTTAAAATGAGACCATTATCTGTTAACTTCAACAGCAGAAGTAACAGGTTGAGATGAGCGCGCTGTCCAAGAAAATGGAAGCTTTACTTTTCCGTATGCATGTTAAGTGCCCAACACCATTGCACGAGCATTAAAACACGATCTTCGATCAACGCGATTGGCTACGGTGCGAAAGAAGTTCAACATTCGAAAGAGGTTCAATTTACTTACATCTCAAATGTACAATTTAAACCACGTATAAAAACACACTACACGTGCTCTCACCACACACGTACACCGCACACGTTAGACAATCCAAACAAAAATAAAATCCGCGACACGTGTCCGATTGTCTATTGACAGTTTCTAGATGCTGCACGCAGTTTGGCTTCAAAGCTATTAATGCAAGTCGCTCCAAAGTTTTGGAACCACCTTGTTCTGTCCCTTGGCATCTCCAGTTTGTCATCTCTGTTCTCGCTTAAAACTGACTCTATTTAGGATGACAAAAGTTCAAGTGTGAATGTAATTGTTCAGCATAATTGCTCAAATTAAGTGTGTTTAAACGACATCAACAAAAAACCCGGTGTAATTGTTAATATGGAATGCTTTGCTGCTGCCGTTGCCTGCCAGTTAAGTCACCCTTGAAAAAAGAGATGAATTGCCCTGAATGAGCGTCACTCTGGAAATAAACTTCTGATTCTGACAAACACGTGCGCGCACACACATGCACAAACACATTGCACACTCATACGTGCACACGCTGTTCACCACACGTGCACGCATATAGCATGCAAACAACATCCGGACGTGCTCATACACGCATATATTTGTGAATGATGCTGGCCATAGGCAGGAATCAAACTCGGGTTTCCAGGTTCGTAGCGCAGTCCACTAATTACTCAAACACACACAGACATACAAATGTGCACGCACACACACGGCACACACATAATTGGTTCAATAAGACGTTATTTATTAACTAATTTAAAAAAAAACTATTTTTATTTCACCAGGTTAAGGGCCACTAAGCTATGTAGCTATTTTGTGGAAGCAACCTGGCCACAAATGATAGCTCAACGAAGTGGCTTATTGCGTGAAACTTTACAGCAGCCAAAAACCCAAAACGCGTGTTTCTAAATGTGGAGGGAAAAACCCGAGGACCCGGAGAAAAATCCACGACACGATGGGGAGAGAGAGAGAGAGACACGCAAACTCCAAATATAGAGCAGGCGTCGGGGTCGGGATCGAACCCACGACCTCCTGCACACCAGGCGAGGGAGTTAACATCTCGCCGTCGTGGTGCCCCTAGCTATACAATATGAACACAGTGTTAACTTTGCAAGCGTGGCTTTAAACGAAATACCACTGTGGCAATTGTTTTTCAATCTTAAAAAAACCCCAACAATAGCACACACGTGTATGAACAATAGCACACACGTGTATGAACAATAGCACACACGTGTATGAACAATAGCACACACGTGTATGAACAATAGCACACACGTGTATAAATAATTATCAAGTCCTACTCATTGTCAGATATCTCTTCCCGGACTTGAAATTGCTTTAGATTTCTCTCCCGACCTTGCAGATTTCCTGTAGGTTCTGACTTCACTTTTAAGGGGACTTGTAACACTTTCTCTTTGTAAGCAGCTCCTTGCGTGAAGGACTAAAAATAGAAGGCTACAGTGCAGGAGGTGGGAGGAAAGGGAAGTCGCAGATCATAATCTTGCATCATTCGTAAAAAAAACATCCACGCTTCTATTTGTCTACTTGTGTTATATTTTGTGAGTGACTTTCTCCAGCAGCATCATAATCATTATTATTTTATATAATCCAATCCTTTCTCTTCTTCCTCCTGTTTCCTGTCGCTGTATTTGTGTTTCCCTCTCCGTGGGGCCTCGCGTGAGTTTACACTTGGACAGAGATTGCCCAGAAAGTGACCCCCTCCTCCTCCTCCCGCCGCCCCAGAAATCTGGCACAGCTGCCGTTGAAGCCCTCTGCTCCTCCACGCGACCCATCGCACCCACCCGCTAACTCACGAGATCGCATTCGGCTGAAGTTGTGTCCACATCTCATAGTTCGTAACTCACGCCGTGCATGCCAATTGGACACAGCGGTGTTTTGCGGTACTTTAAGAAGTGGTGATGCGAAAGGTGTTCGTGTGTGTTTCTGTTTGGTAGGGGAGTGGTAGAGTAGCCGTTAGCACGCTGCGCTCCGAACCCGGCGACTCGAGTTCGATTCGCCGCTCATGTCCAACACCAGTGATGATTATCTGAAACAGTTCTGGGAATCCCCTAGGTCGACTCAGCCTCAATTGAGTACCTAGTGCGATATGTAGGGAGACAAAGACGTCCGGGCGTGGTGCTGGACACCCCCCCCCCCCCACCCTCGTGTGCCATTCCGGCTTTCATAGGTGCTCACTAAAAGCACTTTTTCCAACATTTCTGTTGAGGCTGATTCCTTCGTTAAGGACTGATTCCTGATTTTTTGTTTTTTATTTTGCTAATTTCACATATCAGGAACATTTTTAGAAGATTCCAAAAAGTTATTGTTTCAGATTATTCTGAAAAGGGAAGTGACATCACAAATATGAATGATGCTACTTCCGCTGTTTGCCCGCCAAAAAACGGAACACGTGGCGTCGCGTGATGCCACTTTCGTGAGCACGAAGACACAAATATATGAATTATCTGAAAATTCTGAAAAAGATGTGAAATTTTGTTCATAAATCAGAAAATCCAATAACCGAAGCATTTGTGCAAGTATGTGTCGTGAAAAAGCAACGGTTTGTGAAGGCGGCAAAAGTTATCTAATATAATTAATTTGAATAGTGACCCTGAATCATCAAATTTGGAGGGGTACATTATTACATCCCGGATGATCACCATTCACAAAATAATATATTACTCTGGCCTGTTGCCCCTCTTGGGTCAATTCGGACTGAAACGATGAGTTTATTCAGTGAATTTGACAGTTAAATGAGTTTTGATTTAAAGCTTTCGTGACTGCAGGGATTCATATTCCTGGTTCTTTCAGTAAAGTCACGTAGAAGGGAAACAATAAAATAATAAAAAATATAAAACAATAAAATTCTCACGATGTTTCGACTGCAACACAAGCAATCATCATCAGGTGTGAAAACCACAACAAGAAAATTTGAAAAAAGTGGCGGTTATTTTTAACGTTAGCACCACGGAGAGCGATTTGACAGTTTGTTCAGATGGACGAGTCCATCTATGTTCGGAAAAGAGGAGGGGGGAGACGAAAAATAATGGATGCGGTCTGAAAGCCACCTTAAGCGTGATCAATCAATTAAGAAACGAAATGGTTTATCAAATCCTTCCAATGATTGCTAAGCCAGAGTCCATTTTCTCGGTTGAAATTGTCTCTGTGTTTGTATATGCGGATAGCCTCATGAACGAATCTATCATGGTACTCAGATGGCTTGCAAATAACCTCTGTCTTGGAGAAGTCAATTTCATGTAAACCTACAGAATTATAACAGTGATCTGCCACGGCCGAGGTGTTGGTCCTACTGTGTTTTAGGTCTGCTTTGTGTTCATGAATGCGGTCCGAGACAAGTCGTTTGGTTTCTCCAAAGTAACTACTACCACAGAGGCAGCTTAGTTTGTAGACGCTAACGTTAAAAATAACCGCCACTTTTTTCAAATTTTCTTGTTGTGGTTTTCACACCTGATGATGATTGCTTGTGTTGCAGTCGAAACGTCGTGAGAATTTTATTGTTCTAAATTTTTTTTATTATTTTATTGTTTCCCTTCTACGTGACTTTACCGAAAGAACCAGAAATAGTTAAATGAGTGCTCGTTTTTTCATAGCGCAAACTTCAAAAACTGCTGGCTCTCGTTAAGTTTGCGCCTTTTTTCTAAATGTGGTTCTGCTGACAAGGCACTTCGTAGGAAACGTTCTTATTGAATGCTGCGCCATCTGTCAATGGTGGCCTCAAACTAAGAAATTGCCGGGCTGCGACATCACAGCGCTGCACTTGAAAGACGCTAAAGAAACCCGCACGTTACATCCGCGACTTCTGATCCCCTCCGAGGGCTTTTTTGGCAGTCGTTCGGACGGCGTGCGGGGCTGGCTGCGTGAGACACAACGAGGCGGTTGTGCCTGGTTGGAATTTGAAATGTCCCCAGTCGATGACGTCTGCAAAGACCCAAACTGTTCAGACTCACAACTCTGGCATCTGCAAATAGTCTGGGTCAAGTTGAGGTTAACCATCACTCGCAAATGCACGAAAATTGATCCTTCTGTTGGACACCGTGTTCAAAACCCCCGTGGTTGCCATGGATATTGCACCGTGCTGTTATTTGTTGTCCTTAAATTTAAATGATAAGGCATGGACTTCTGCGATCAGCGGACACATGCAGCTGCTCTGTCTTATTGTGGTCAGTTTATTTTCAGTGCCTTCCTGCCAATTCTAGCTGACTCATTCATTGTTTTATAACAAATCAATGCATCCGTACATGTCTGGTACATATGTAGTGGATTAACACGTGCATACAGGGGGAAATGGTAAAGACGCGCGAGTTATGGAATTGTGGGGTTACGTCGGGCCGGCCAGGTGTGGCGGCTTGAAACTGTGAAGTAATGACGGGCCAATTAAGCCAGGGAGCGATGTACGGCTGTGATTGGCCGGGGTTGTTATCAAGGACGAGGTGGCGTCGGAATGTCTGGGAATAGAGGGGGGCAGGTAACAGGTGCAGGGGGACGCGGGGCGTCGGTGGCACGCGGTCTAATTAATTGGTGGGTAATGTGAACGGGGATATATTCGGGAGACGGGAAGACAGAGTAGGAGTTGTGGTTGGGACTGGAACGACGCAGATGTGGGAGAAACGGGGAGAAGACATTGCAGATAGAACAGCTAGCAGTGGAGCAGAGACAAGGAGCGACTGAGAGTGATAGAGAGAAGCAGAGACAGGGAGAGAGACAGAGCGAGAGACAGGGAGAGAGACAGGGAGAGAGACAGGCGAGAGACAGGGAGAGAGACAGAGCGAGAGACAGGGAGAGAGACAGCGAGAGAGACAGAGCGAGAGACAGGAAGAGAGAGACAAGGAGAGAGAGACAGGGAGAGAGACACAAGGAGAGAGTCAGACAGGGAGAGAGACAGAGTCAGGCAGGGAGAGAGACAGAGAGAAAGACAGGGAGAGAGACAGAGACAGCGAGTGACGGAGAGAGGGACAGAGACAGCGAGCGACGGAGAGAGACAGAGACAGCGAGTGACGGAGAGAGGGACAGAGACAGCGAGCGACGGAGAGAGGGACAGAGACAGCGAGCGACGGAGAGAGACAGAGACAGCGAGTGACGGAGAGAGAGACAGCGAGCGACGGAGAGAGACGGTAGGAGACGGGAGGAAGCGGAGCGAGCGAGACGGCCGGAGCGCGGCGAGCGAGCTGTGGCAAACAGAGGAACTGTGAAGTTATAGACGGAATGTGGAAAGTTGGAATAAAAGTGGTGTCGGAGAAAAGAATGAAGTTGTCCGCGTGAAATCGACCACTACACATACACACACACACAGTGGGCAAGCTAGCAGCACAGTCCTGATTAATAACTTCCCATGAGGTCAAGTTGGCTCCTTGCTTCATCTCTGTGTCGTTTGACCCCTCCGTAGCACTGGAGCGAATGGACAAGCTGTCTCCAAACGAAGGGCCCTCCTCGGAGGACTTGCAAGGTCACGTAAACGCAGCCTCGCTTGAGAAGGTGCAGCGCTACTACAGAAGCCTCAGGTACCCAAATGCCCTGCATGCTGTATTAAGCTATGAGTATCACAACCAAACAATTTCCATATTTTCCATTTTAGATATGTACTGCGACACAATTTTCAACGGAGTAGGGATCACAATACTCATTAAGCCCTCTCGTGGCTAGCAGACATTGGCATTCATCTCCTGAACATATTTCCACATGAAATAATAGAATCCACGTATGGTGTATACTGTGGAGAAGCTCCCAGCACATGGAGCAAAAATTTGCTCTGCGTAATGTTTGGCATGACGTACTGAATAATTCAGTGAAATGTCGGACATAAGTCCAGGTGCTATGGAAGCAAAGTCCCGGTCACCCATAGATTTTAGGTTTTTATAATCTTCATACAGAGCTGACCTAGTGTGATTCTTAGCACGCTGGACTTGGAATCCACATGCGATCTTCTGGCGCGGCATTTGAAGCAGCGGTGCACGTTTCTCAGATCCCCCCCCCCTCCCCCTTGGCTCTGCACCAATCAGCATAAATGGGTACAGCCACAGATATTCGATGTGCAGGCCACGTGTGGTGGGTTAAAGTGTCAGGTCAATGTGGAAGAGTAGACCAAATACGCTCGCGTTCACTCGAGCAGAGGGCCCTTCTGCCAGCAATGACATGAGCAAGCAATTGCAAGGCCATACCTTTACCTTTTTGATTTAACGTTACTCTTGATTCATATCAAAGATGTTTGTCCAGAAATAATCTTCTAACTGAATGACCAAAAGTTGTCCAAAGATGGGCCCCTGGTGGGGATGGTGCCATAGAAGGTTCTGGAACTACTCCCATCATAATTACCATTCTCCGTGGGGTCAAAATAATTCCAACCTGCTTGGCAGGATAATCTCATTGGTTTGTTATGGAGAGACTTGACCCCTGCCATATAAATATTTAATTGACACCACATTGGTATGGGCACCGTCCAATGCTGATTTGAGTTTAGAGAGACTCCAACTTGTTACATTTGCCTACATAGAACCGGAGATCCATTTCACGGAGTGTCCTGTCAGTTTTCAATAGAATGAACTGCTACCATCAACGTTGAAGTATAAACATTAACATTGGTCAATTCCCAAAGCACGAGGAGTGTTTGGCAAATTATTTCTGAGCACGAGATATAAAACATTGAATCAGAAAAACGCACACTACACAGTAATGAAATTTTGTTTTTATTTTACACTGTTATAATGACAATTTAAACATCCGTAGGGATGAAATTTCATGTTACGCAATATCGTGGTGCTTTAAATATATTTTTGGTATGAGATATTTTTTTTTTCAACAGGACCTTCTATTTGGATATGTCAAAACTCCCGTCGGATTCATCTGCCAAGGTTGCTGCAGTTGACAAGGTACGGCACGGAGTAATGATAATAATAATACAATCGCTACGAAATGAAAAGTCATTCTCAGCAAGCAGGAAAAAGTGGCATCCCCGTTGGTTCTGGCTGAAGAGGAACGAGCGGTGGCAGAGCCCCAAACAGACAGTAGGTAGAGATGCAGGGCTGAGTTGAGTGGCGGATCGAGGGGGTAGTTCCAGGACGCTGGTTCTGTCGTCAAGCCCCCCCTCCTCCTCCGCCAGAGGTGTCGTGGGCTAATCGACGAAACGCCAGTGAAGGGGGGTGCCCGCTCGAGAACCCGGTGAAGTCGCCACCCCGCCCGGCCCCAGTTAGGGGAGTTAGTGCCTCGAATGAGGAAGGAGGAGTAGATATTTAAGTGCCATCTGGCTCACAGAAGCCGCAGGCAAGTGAGTAACTGTCAGGTGAGCCGGCAGCGATGATCCCCATCGTATTTCGGATATGGAATAGCGTGTTGATATCTAAATTATATGTTTGAGACGCTTCTGTGGTGCATGGTTTGCAACGCTGAACTTGCGATCCAGAGTATGCCTCTCCATTTGACCTCTTGGCAAAGCGGTTGAAGCGACGAGCAAGTTTCTTAAAACCAGCTCCCCCCCCCCCCCCCCCCCCACTGCCTCTGTCCACCCAGCAGCATAAAATAATTTTACCGCAGTTAGTCAATCAGCGGGTCGTGTATAGTGGGGTCAAGTGTGGGTACTCCCACCTCTTCTAACGCGTTTGGCTAGCATGGAAGAGTACACTTAAATACCCTCGAGGGGGGCTCTCTAGAGCCTACCGCGAGTGTGGGATCTTCTACCAGCAGTGGTGTGCGTAATCAATGGCAGGGCTGCGCCTTTGCCTTTGCAGCTTTGCCATTCCTATGTAAACCACAGTAAAAAGGCACTGATGGTTAAAGATAGAGAATAAATAAAACTAAATCCCGTTCGTACAGTTTTTGTTTACCACTATGAATTTTATTTTTCGAAAAGCTGTATAGTAGCGAATTTAAAAGTTTATAAGTTCAAGGGAAATGTATATATCACGACAGCCATGTAGCGTTGCTTAATTTAATGCGGAATTACAGTTTACTATATACGTTACATACGTGCGCATGTGTAAATATAACATTGAATCCTACCCATGTGTATATGTGCCTTTATAGTCGGGTGTCTGCATAATATAACACGATACGCACTGTTGAAATGCAATGCAAATAATGAAAGAAATGCGAGAGCTCAAACCCCTCAAATTCCACATGCTTCCAATCCAAGAAACACAAAGCCAGAAGCTATTTTGCCATCGCTGTCGTCATGAACTCTCTGCGGCTGTATGTTATTCCTGGAGTCTCTTTTCCGGCCCCTTGGCTTCAAGCTGCCGGCTGAACCGTGGCTGCAGAACGCAGCGTTGAGAAGAGAGAGGAGTGGGGGGGGTAGTGGAGCGTATTAATAATAATAATAAAAAGGGATGAGGTTTCAGGATAGGAGAATGGGCCTAATGGGTGGGGGGTAGCATAACGGTGAAGCTGAGCGTCAGCAAGAGGGGCTTCGAATTTACAAACAAGTGTGGAGGATTCTTTTGTTGAGACGATTGCCATATTTTTTTGTTTTTTACCACTGCTGGAATAATGTGGTGCAGCTCAGCCGATCGGACTGCATGGCTCCCATTCATGAGGTCCATGAGATTACGTACTGGCCACGGTCGACCGGGGAAGGCAGAGGGGATGGGTGGGTGTAGGGGGTAATGGCCAGTCGTTAACAGCTCTTGCCCTACAATCGTTTTGGCTTAATGGGCGGCCAAGTTGTATGTACTCTATGTGTGTGTATTGTGGGGAGCGGTAATGCAGTGGTTAGCGCACCGCACTTTGAACCCGGCGACGTGAGTTCGATTCCCCGCTCACAACCTACATTGGTGAATCATCTGAATTAGTCCTGGGCTTTTTCCGAGGTCAACTCAGCCTTAAATGAGTACCCCTAGTGTAATATCTAATCATGACCAATGGGAAAACAGCAATGATGAGGATTGATAATGGCCAGACACTACCCTCGTTTACCGTGCCGACCTTAATAGGCACTCGCTAGCAGCACTTGCACCGATGAACTGCAAGACTAAATGATCCCTGTCTTTCCACGTTTGCTCCTCCAGTTGTTGAGGCCGTTCAGCGCCCTGGATGAGTTGATTCGCTTGATGGAGGGGCTGCTCGCCCCCTGGAGGAGCTCCACCGTGGAGGCCAGCATCTCCCCCTCGTGCAGCTCCGGCGTGGGGCTGCTCCCTATCGCAGCGGAGGTCTGCGACCGCCTGGGCGCGTGCCACGTGCTCATCTGCAACAGTGGCGTGCACAGGTGTGGAGAGCGGCAGAGCGCTCGGCGTGCCGTGCGTGCGCGTCCCGTTCGACTGCAATCTCCCTTGCGTGTGTGGTCCATGGGCCACAGCAGAAACGTCGACGCAGTAGCTTGGTGTACAGTCTGTTCTCCTGTAACGCGTGGTTTTCACAATGCGAATTGAATATAACGCGATGAATGTATTCGGGAGCACATTTTTGTTATAACGTGACCGCGAATGTGATACAACGCGATCAGTTTTCAGTTTCATTTATTAGGTATCGAGCCCTGTGAGCCATACGGCTCTTGACTCGGGCGCAACCGCAACGAAACAAAACCATGAACAAGGAACATCTTAAAGTGACTACACGCGACAGAAAAATCCAGGAAAAAACAGCAAAGTCCTCCAGAAAAAACACCGCGTTTCAACGCTTTGTGCAAAAATCCCAGTGGGATGCAAGTCAAACAATAACAACCATAAGACAATTTAGATTAAGTTATCAGGCTAACTCTGTATTACAACAAACAAACATAGCTAAACCAAAACGTTTTCAAAATCGCAGAACTACGTCGCGCGAGTAGGAATAAGCGGTTGTACGGCCGCCTCGACGTAGCATCGCACAACAAGGCACTGGGATGCTGCTGGATGCGTCTGGATGCTACACACGCGCCTCCGTCTTTGTTCAGCCTGCGTACGCATGTCACGTGTTATCGCGGACTGTGCTTAACACAATATTACATATGATTTATTATCACTAGATTTCTCCTAAACGCGGTGTTCTTCAGGAACGCAACTACTGCCGCGTTACAGGAGAACAGACTGTGTACCACCTGAGGACGTCTGGCCTGCGTGGAAGAGTAGGCCAAGAATGCCCTGTGAAGGGGGCTCTCTGGAAGTCTCTCTAGTGCGCAGGCCCTTATGCCAGCAGTGGCGTGAGCAAAGCCATACCAGGACTGCGCTTTAACAAAGGCATCTTCAGTGATACCGATTTATTTGAAAATGTATACGTCCTCCACCTCCATTATATTCCAATTGTGTTATCGACATCATGTTGTAAAATTAAGGCATTTCTACTGGGAACTTTCACGGCTAGCGGCGTGTCACCCTGTGTCGGACAATGAAACCCGCAAGGACGGACCTATATTGTAGTTGTAGTACAATTGGTTGGAAAACACAGGTTTGTAACTAAACTTGCAAAACTTAAAATTTCATGAGGTAAGGCTCACTGAGCTACGTAGCTCTTTTTCAGAAGCGACCTTGCCACAAATGATAGCTCAACGAAGCGGCTTATAATGTGGACATTTATAGCAGCCACATACTATAAAATGCATGTTTGGAGTGAAAAACCGGAGGGCCCCGGAAAAAAAATCCACGCGATCACGGGGAGAACACGCAAACTCCAAATATACAGGCATCTTCAGGATCAGGATCGAACCCACGACCTCCTGCATACCAAGCGAGGTAGTTAATAACTCACCACCGTGGCTCGCCATTTTTGAACTCTGACCGCCACATCCATTTGTTGCCCATTCATCGCGCGTCGCCACTTTTGAGAGCACCCGCTATATCAACGTCTTTAGAGGCACGCTAATGACACGACGGTCGGCGCTGTCCTTGGGGGGCGGAGGGGGGGCGGGGGTCACCCACCGCTCTCTCTCGCACACCCTGCTAAATCCATCAACGCTCGACAGAGGCGCTCTCAAAAGTACACGTTTGTCTTCTGTCAATAATTAATGCGATACACTGGAGTGGTATCTCATGATCGTTTAGCGGGACGGCGCTTTATCGCCGATCAATGACTAATTCTAGCCGCTGCTACCGCGGCGGTGGCGAAAGCGCTCGTTTCATCCAAATGGGATTCACGCGAAAGTCAGACGCCCGCCCGCTCATTCGCAGGCGTGCGCACGAGCAGGCGGGCGGGCGGGCGGGCGGGCCGGCAGGGAGCCGTGCAGCAGCGCCCCGCGGTCCTCTTGAGCTGTTCCAACGGCAATGTCGGACTGTGCCGCAACTGCCGTCACGCGCACGCTCTGCGACGTTCCAGCCGTTTGCCCATAATGCCACCGCTGAAAAGACGACAAAGCAAATGCCTCCTTGACAGTTTTCATAGTTTCATTTTATTTGGAATAACCCTGTGAGCCATTCGGCTCTTGATTCGGGTGCAACCGCAACAAAACAACACAATCACAAGATACGTTGATCATTGACTGTACACAAATTGAGACAGATTGGTCTTTCCACGTATCAATGTTTTGTTTATTTACGCAGCCCATCACAGCAACCACACGCCCCTTTCTGGGAGTGCTTTATTGGGAAAGTCAGGAGATCGCTAAAATGTTGTGCAGCTGACGCCACCGTTAACATCTCGCCATCGCTACCTTGCTTAAATTGATAACATGAGCTCCAAGATGATTTGTGGTAAAAGCCTCTAAAAAATAACAATATGACGTAAGCCATTTTTGTTTCATGGAATGTACAGTTCAGCAGAGTATTATTTTCGTAGACTGAATTACAGAAAAACGCAATGAATACATTTCGGCTCTGCCACGTGAACCTCGTGGCAGATACCCATGCAGTGCATGGCAGTGACCACACCGAAGCTGTGTGCTTTGCAAGAGGCGCTGTATTGTCACCGGTGCTGTAGCCATGCAATAGCCATGCAATAGCCATGCAATGGCCCTGTCCAGAGCTTAATTTCTCACCCAATAGTTTCCGGAACGCTGCTAGGCTGTCTTGGAAGTAGGCATTATCAGCATAAGGCACTATAAATCGTATGAACAGGTTTATGAAAATCAGATTCAATATAAGGCGAGATGAATGTGGCATCAGCGGCAGAAACCAGGAGTGCGATGAGTTATTTTATTAATATTGGTGTTTCATTGATATCTAGTAGAGAAGATGCATTGATATTTCAAGATGCCCCCCCCCCCCCCTGCACCACACCTCCCCGGGGAATTTTCTCGGCCCGCCCTGTGTGTGGCGCGCCAAAAAACGATTCCTGGAAGAGCGTTTTTGCAGACCCCACTGGCTCAAAAACGAAGTGCCGGTCCCGCGTTGCTCTCCGATCCGCGTGCGCAGGTGCACCCTGCAGGTGACGCTGGAGCAGGTGGCGTGGCTCACACGGTGTCACGGGCTGCCTCCGCGCACCATGATGCAGGCGACTGACGTCATGAGAAAGCAGGTAGAGGTCCCCCCCCACTCCCCCCATGCACACAGCGACGTGCTAATATCACGGGCGCTTGGCACGCGGGCCTCTCACTCGCCGAGCAATGCAAATCGACGACCCAAAGGACAGTGGGCCATACTCAAACACGTGCGAACATTGCACGGTAGATACGGCCAACCTCCCAGCACCCGTGGAAAATGCACGTTAAGTATGCACGTTGAACTTCTTTCCCATCGTACGTAGCCAACCGTGCTAATCGGAGGTGCGGGGGGGAAGGACAACGAACTAAACAATGAGAGATGGTTCACGTTGAGACTGCGGACACACGAAACCAAAGCCGTGGAGCACATGGTCTGACGCTCCCCACTCCCATCGTTCACGGGCAACATCACAAGCATTTGCAACGTCTGCAACACCACCACTGCAGCCACCATGCAAACTCGACAACCTCCACATTTTAGGAAATGAACTGTTGCTGATAACTCGCTGCCCCACAACCCCCACCATACCAAAGTGAGCATAAAGTGGAGTGCATCTCTATTGGCTGTACTCGGGCATTTGTGGAAATGCCATTCGCGGAAAATGCCATTCGTGGAAATGCGATATGGTAGGAGCATATCTATAGATTGGTTATTTACAAATACAGGCAGATCTCGCTGAATGCAGGGGTTACGTTCATGTAAATATCAGTGTTGGGCAAAACCACGTTCGACAAGATAATACCTTGTGGAAAATAGGGTTGCGTTCCCGGGTCTGAAATGATCACCCACTCCCTCTTTGTTGAACCAATTCTACATGGTCCCCCCCCCTATGTTATTGTACTCAAGGATACTGAGTTGCTCTCCACGACTTGTGTGGGTGTGTATACACTCTTTGAATTTCACTTCAACACAAAACCCGCATCTCCATCACTCTTCCCACAATGCAGCACTCACGCGCAACGCTCGCCCCTGACACTGAATTGCCAGCCCGAGGCTCGCTCCCCATGTCAATCCAAGGTTCATGATTCGCCACCCAGGCGCCTGTAATGAATTGGCGTCCTCAATGACTGCGCGGCTAGATGCATGCGGCAATGTGAACATATGCCATGTGCTGTTGTGCGTGAACGGAGGTGAGAATCTTAGAAGCGTCAAACCGTGTACAGCCCGAAACATGCGTTCGATAAAGCCGTGTTGGGCAAGTTTTCCTGTACTGTTGAATTCCCACCATTGTTTTTCATCATGTGGTAATTGTATTTACAAGTGTTGAATTGTGATTTGGATGATAACGTCAGTGGTCTTCTTGGACCTTAGACTTTTCTATCCTTCACTCCACGATTGATCTCCTCATTTCATCAAGGCCCCTGGCCATTTCAATAATTTGTTGATCGGGGTTGCGGGGGATGTCTCTATACATATTTAATCAACAACAAAACTATGCAGATGATTAGAATAAGTAGAGCGCATGATCGTTATCAGTTTACTCCGGCAATGGAGAAACAAAATCAGCTCCCTGTAACTGTTTCGGCTGACCTGATGTGGTTTGTTGGTATTTGAACTCACAAACTCACAACCATAGAAGCCCTGCTGCTTTCACACCTGCACTATAAGTCAGTCAGATGCTTGTGCGTGTTGCAGAGTGTGCGTTGTGAATGCACCCTATTGCTTGCCGGTGCTGTTTACAGGGTGCAAGAGTCCAGAACACCGGGAAAAACCTGGGAGTGCGCGACCGAACGCCGCAGTCTGTGCCACGGTGAGTGCCCATTGGCTGTCTCAAGGCTCCATTCGAGCGCCAAACGCCGTCCAGAAGCCACTATGAATGCAAATTCCCTTTGTTACAATACAGCCACGATTTATTGCATCGTGTTGAACTTCTTTTGCACCGTACGTAGCCGACCGTTCTAATCGGAGGTGCGGGTGAAGGACGACAAACTAAACACAAAAAGTAGATCTAAAGATATTGAGTTTTCAATTTACATTTAAAAGTGCATAGTTCCAGTGGCTTCCTAATATCGGACGGAAGAGCATTCCAGACGGCCGCAGAAGCGCATCTGTGAAATTACGCGATGCAGTGACCGTCTTTGTTCGATGGTTAGCCAAAAGCCGCTTGCGAGGGTTACATTTGTCTATAAGTTATTTATTAATTTCTAACAGTGGCTGAACACAGGCCCCAAGGCCCTAAACGTCAATCAGCCATCGACAAAAGGCGCAGCACTGTTATAGTTGTGATCAATAAGAGTGAACACTTTTGTTGAATTGAGCAATGTTCTAAAGAACCTGGGAAAAGAGACGATTGCGGGAAATTATCAAGTCGAGCAGTGCAAGGGAAGAATCGGAGGGAGAAGCAATGTGATCCGCAGTGCGATGGTTGAACGCGGTGTGGGGGGAGGCGAAACAAGTCAAGCTACTCGGCCCAGAAAAACCTTGAGAGGCAAGGAGTGACAAGCTGGATGGGTCTAGGATGGCAGAAACCTGAAATAAGTTATACAGGGCGGTCCAGATGTCTTGTGACCATCAATGAATTGGCCCCTATTTTTTTTTTCACTTAACATATTCATGTTTTTTTTATTTAAATAAACCTTACTTAAATAATTAAGTTTTAAAGAATTAAATGGACCACCCTGTGCATTGGCAATATAATTGCTCCACTCATGTTTCCTCTGTTGACATCTTATCGAGCGGGAATTTTCACGTAAATCTATATATATATTTCATATGTTTGACAAAACTTGTTACGAGTTTAGTTACTCGTGAATGAAAGTGTTTGTTTTGATAGCTATGCTGTGTGCCAGTGCTTTTTGAATCTAACCAAGCTGAACTAGGACTGTGGAGCGAGCGTTGGCGTCGTTTTGCGGAAAGTTTCCGCGATGTAAATACGCCATGAATATAGCGCTTGTACAATCAAGACTCTCCATTTCACGATAACGGTCACTTCCATTAACCTCCGTACTCGGACAACAGCGTCAAAAAATATGCAACGATAAAAAAACCGACTCGTCGTACTGCTTTATACTGGCCACCAATAGGTCCTCCAAGTTGTCATCTCGTGCGCGTGTACAATGCCCCTTTACCAACACGCCTGAAAGCTGTGCTTGAAGCAGAAATACACCACCATGCAAATTACACAAGCCTCAACATCCATTGCCTTCGAGATCGATTGCTGTTTGTCTTAAATGGCCCGGTGGCTCAGCGGGAGAGAATGTTTTGTTCTGAGAGTTCAAATCCAAATTGGGGATTGACTCGACCCATCATTCTTTTCTGGGTCGATACAAATTATTACCAAACTACGATTGGGCAGGGGGGGGGGGAGTCAAGTGGTTGTGTCTGATGGATAGACGCAACTGCAATAGGAATGCGGAATTTTCACCACTGGCTCAGGGCTGTTAACAGATGAGCAACTTCCTCAATGTTCACTTGAGCCGGAAATCACTTTGAATGTTTGACTTGATATCTGAATAGTTGCAGAGCATTATCTGGTGATTTATTTTATTTTATACCTACGTGACTTTACCAAAAAAAACAAAGAGTATGGATTCCTGCAGTCACGAGAGCTTCAAATCAAGATATTATCCGACTCGTTTCTCTTTGCAGGTTGTACAAGCTGTGCCTTCCTGGATCTGACACGGACTGAAATAGCAGGTCAACAAAAAGCCTTAACAAAAAAGCTCGCAGTGCAGCATCGTAGCATTACAATTGTGCGTTTTTTTTACAAAATACAGTAATTGCAACTTACCGTTAAGATGTATTGTTGAAACATGTTATTGTTCATAAAGCAGGTACGTACAAATAAACTGTTAACGTGTTTTAAAATCTAATTACTGTGCTGTAGAGGTTAGCATTGCACAGATGGTATTTAGTGGAAAGATTAACTTTTACATTCTCTGTGTGCTCCGGTTGTTTCATAATGTAAAATGTTACTGCTATTTATTAATTCCAAACCAGTATTTTTTTTGCATAATCGTATTGTGTTCAATGTTGTTTATATTTCTCCCCGAAGGAACAAATGTTTACTGCACATGCAATGATTAAACGATCATACTTTAATAGGTTTTTATTAACATGTCAGGGTTTTTGTCATTTTCTGTATATTGTACAATTTTACAAATGTGTAAAGAAAAACAATGCCTTATTCACCAAATCTGTGTCGTGGTGTTTATTGTGTTGTACATGACTCAATATGGCAATACTTTCATAGATGCTTGCCTATGGACAGCCTTACTGTGTGAAGACTTTTTTTAAGCAAAGTGCTGAAATCTGCCCATGCCCTCCTATAGTATTTGCACGTGGGAGAATACCAGAGAACTCGGAGAATACAAACACATGAGGGTATAACACTCACAGGCTGCAGACAGTTGAAATACTATATTTACATCTTGACTTAAAGCTTTTGTGACTGCAAGAATTCATATTCTTTAGGCCTTTCGGTAAAGCCACGTAGATAGAAAAATAATCATTTAAAAAAATATCACGTTTCGATTGCAAGATTCAGGTTCGATTCAAAACAGCACGTAAAATTTGTGATCTGATTCCATCTGTGAAGGATGTGATCCCTGACATGCAATATCCCGGTGTCTACAAACTAAGCTGTGTCTGCGGCAGCAGTTACATTGGGGAAACTAAGCGACATGTATCAGACCGTGTTCGTGAACATAAGGCAGATCTGAAACACAGGTAGGACCAATACCTCAGCCATGGCTGATCAGTTTTAATGCTGTGGGCACGCACGAAATTGATTTTTCCAAGACAAAGGTACTCTGCAACCCACTGGCTATCGGCAAAGATTCGTTCATGAAGCCATCCAGATATATAAATACAGACACAATTTCAACCGAGAAAATGGGTACAAACTGAGCAATAATTGGAATGACGTTATAAACCAGTTTAAGTCATAACTGGCTGTGATGTTTCCATCCTACCTACCGATGTTAGCAGTTATTTTCGACATTACCAGGTTACATGTCTTTACATTAACAGGCTAAATGTCTCACTAACACAGCCACCGTTGCTCGTTTTCCTCGATGTGGCGGTGGTTTTCGTGTTGTTCGTTTTTCCTACATTGACATGCTAATCTCTCAATGGCCACCTCCACAGCTTCGTCGTCGTGGAGGTAGCCCAGCTCTCCGATCTTACATTTACATGCAAATTTAACATCTAGCCCCGCCCACTTCACCTATGACCCTTGGCCTACACCCATCTCAAACCATTATAACATCCTACCTCAGCAGCTCTCCCGCTATATTCTTCACCTGATGACGATTGCTTGTTGCGATCGAAACGTCGTGATATTTTTATTTTTCTATTTACATTGTGTGCATTTGTAGAACATTACCACTCTGCATTTATTCAGAACATTCCCAATACAGTTGAGCAATTTTTTTTTATTTGCCACAAGTCATTTCCTACAGTGGGCCAATGTAAACATATAAGAGCGGACATGTTAGTAAATATAAAAAAAATGCAAAATATAGGTTTGCTACATGTAAATCCAAGCTTATCATTATTCCCTTTGCCGATTATGATAGACACTACAAAACATGTTATAAGTCACAATCAATTACAAAACACCACATCCCTATCACAACCGTAACCATCACGACCCAAAAACTTTTAAGGAGTGCGTTAGAAAGTGGAGTTACCTGAAGAATACCACACATTCGAATGAGGGGGACAGCACTTAAAGGCCTGGACAGAACGATTACACTACTGCTCAAGAGTTTAGAAAAGATAGACGTGCTTTCTTGCTTCATACCAAACGTGTGGTTTTCATCGGTCCTCCAATGGTAATAACCCCTGGGGTAATTGGTGCTTTACACAAAATGCACCGTTCCCTATACTTTATTGCAATTGTTTTCTGACAGTTCAGTCTGTCCCTTAATTAAATTTAGCTCGGCTCTCGATATGCTGCCGCTGCTCACAGCTCGGTGGGTTTGGCCTATTCGTAAATCTACCTTCTCCCCCACCACCTCTTGCCTCCGAAGTGCTCGATCACTGGATGTGCACCACCATTCCCCCAAAATGGCGTCAGAGCGTGGAGGCGTTTCGCCCTGTCGAAGCTACTTTCAAATCGTCATCACATTCCATTCATGAGTGTCCTGACGAAATACAACCCGAACGCAGGGTATTCAATCTCCTGGAATCCCAGGTGATATGGAGTGTCGACAGATACCATCCCAGCACATCCTCTACCCCTTGCGATTTTCACCAACGGGGCACGTTGAACCCCTTTTGGACCAGTTTTCCACATTTTGCCAATCACCTAGTGTACCCGGTGTAATTTGGCAAGTGACTTTTGGTAACAGGACATGGCACTATGGTACGTCGGGCAGCAGTGAGGAATTGAAAATGCACTGGATCATAGGCAGTCGTGCAATAAACTTAACTTCTTTAACAAGCTGCTATGCTTCCCCATGCATATGATGAAGAGGCAATGGTTATAATGCACACGCCTGCGGAATGATCGACATCAAGCGCTGCAACATACTGTACAGCACAACTGCTACGTGAGAACCCGTGCTTGCACCTCTGAACTTTTATGGGCCTCAGTCTTTGACCTCAACATGCCATTCATTTTTTTTTACTTACAATCGTCAGATGTGCTCAGTGCTTAGTGCCATTTTGCATTCGACTGGAAATTGGCCAAACGTGGAAAGGAAAAATTGAGGACCGAGACGTTTGAGAAACCCTGCCTTAATTCAAGGGGTTCAATCGTGTACAGCGGCAGCAGAAACAGCAGGATCTCCTGCCACACACTACAAAGATAAACAAAGATCCCCAGTATAGGCTGAACAGGCTGTTGGGGCAAGTGCTGTTAGCGAGCACCTATGAAGGCCGGCACGGCACACGAAGGGGGTGGGTGGACAGCACCACGCCCGGCCGCCTGTCTCCTTCGTGTCAATATTTTACACATCGCACCAGGTACTCATTTGAGGCTGAGTCGACCTGGGGGAGGCCCAGGACCGGTTCAGATAATCGTCACTGCTGTTGACCGTGAGCGGGAATCGAACTCGGGTCGCCAGGTTCATAGCGCAGCGCACTAACCGCTACGCTACTGCTCCGCACTATGTACACACGCGCGCAATGATTGGGTCGACGCATCAAGGCACAACAATTGATTAAATTAGAATATTAAACAAATGCGTCACTCAGTGCGCGTATGACTGGAGTGTATGACGTTGGATTTGGGTTGCACCTCGCCCGATGTTTTTTCGCCATAAGGATGAGGCATCAAAATGTTTGTGGGCGAAAGCAATATTTGTTCCCTTATGTATATTTTTTTAAAAGGCACATAGATAAATAGGCAAGCAATTGCTAAATTGGTCGTCATAATTGCACTTATTTTGTAACATGTAATTTCCACTGGTACTGTGCAGTTGCCTTAACTGCTTACATACGTGTAAACTATTTTGTGATCTTGGTAACTTGGCTGGCTACAGCGTCAACATTTGATCATCACAATGACCGACTGAAAATGCAATACATATCACAGTTACTAAAGCCTTATTTAAATAAATCCTCTGGTGTAAATTCAGAAGCTGTTTTGTGATCTTGCTAACTTGACCATCCCAAAATGGTTGCGTGTTCATTACTTGTTTACCGAGCAAACGCTTTATAGAAATGCAGTATAAACCGTACACGTGGAAAAGCCACGTGTCAATCCGACTGAAATGGGTCCCTTAAAGGGGAGCGCAACCATCCAGCCGCCTGTACTGGACCTCTTCGCGATTCTGCCTCCGCTTCGCATCTCCACAGCACCACAGCGCCCTCGTGTGTCTGGTTGGAACAAGTAAAAAAATGAGTTATAAATTCAACAAATGCGACAGTTCACCCACCCCACGTCCTCCCCCCTCCTCTTAGTAATGTAATACTTTGTTTCAAATTCAGAGCCGTGATTCAATCATTAGCTTTGCGTGGTTTCTAGTCTTTTCAGTTGTATTTCTCATGTTGTTCCGTGTAATTTCAAAAATTCAATTTGCTCTGCTAATACGTAACATGAACATATCACCTTCACATTTACATCCCATAGTAAAAAAAAAACACTGATTCTTACACACGTGATTCTACGCATTTATCGTAAAGCCAACAATCAATGTTAACAGATAAATTGTGGCGTTACACACCCATTCAACAACGATATTTTATCGTGACAGGTTTAAGTGGCTTGAGTGAGATTTGTGAGCTTGTAAGTATTCTCCCACATGGATGTTAATGGCAGTGATGTCAATGTGGTGGTACCTTCTAATAACTATTAGAAGTGCGAAACAAGATACTGACCGTCACCTTCATTACATCAGCATAAAACTGACGGTGCACTGTTGTGGATAACTGTGTTTATCAACGAAATGCATAAACAAGCAACAGTGTGAATGACATTTTGTTTAAGTAGGCAAAATCTGGATTGACTTTGATCTTCTGGATTTCATCAGCAGTCCAAAGCTGTTAAACCAATTATGAAATTTTTGCTCGGTGTTATAGGCAGGAGGCATCCATTTCAGCTCTGGGGACTATCAGTGCAAAACAATAACACAGCATAAACACTGCCCTGGTCACAATTCAAATTCTCGACCACAAATTGGATATGTGTGACAACTTCACCAGTGATTTCATAATGCTGTGGGGGTGTGTTTGGCATACATCGTGCAGGTTTTGTTCTAAAGGTGGCAAGCGCCCCTTGGGGTGTGGGTGGGTGGTGGTGGTGGTGGGTCTCACGTGGAATTTAGCTGCTGGGATATTTCCTCGAGGGTCTGACCCTTCGTCTCGGGCACGAACGCGTTCACAAATACCACGGACACCACGCCCATGATAGCATACAGCAGGAATGTCATCGATAGCCCCAGGCACTCTGTGGGAAAGGTGATACAAACATCCCCATGTCAAATCTGACACGGCACAAGTGAAATCATCCTTTGAGAGCATTTGAATCAAGCCTTCGTAAAATTTTCAAGGGGGTACTATTTGGCCCGTTTGACCAACCTCAGAGCATTTGTTACTGCATTTTTGGAGGAAACTGCAATGCTCAGATCATATCCATGCGCAATAATACATGACGATAACATTTTAAGAGTGGAACGTTCAGGCTCCAGCGGTCAGGAACATGTCAAGTCACCAATGTGTTTGCCGTAATTGAAGTCGCAACAGATATTGTAACGATCATATATAATGATAATCGATATTATTTAGCACATTTTACCTTATAACTCAAAGCACCATGCTTACAGAAAAAAAAAAAACGCGTTCATCTGGTTTCGTCGGCAGGATCTCCATTGCGGTCGACTTAAGCACACCCGTGCACTGTAAACCAAACAAGCTGCAGGGTTGGGCGGCCACGCCATACATTGACGCCGAGTGCATTTGGACGCTGCGCAAAAGCAACAAAACTTGCCTTGCTTTGTGTTTTGTTATATTCGCCAACAGAGATGGCACAGAAGCCTCAGGTGTCAGTGAAGGGTGCGAGAAGGCATTGAGGAAAAGGACGGTGATTGGAGGCTGGTAGGAAGGAAAGAACAGTTTAAGAGGTTTAAAAACTTCGTGAGTGGTGGGATATTGATTAGTACATACACAAGGAGATGCAAGTAGGAGCACAGACTTGTTAAAGGGTGTTGATTGCACTAAAACACATTGTACAAGAAAAAAAAAGTGATACCCCTACTTATGCACAACAGCCAATACATTAATCTAGATTTTGAAGTTTTCGTGACTGCAGGGATCCATACTCTGGTTCTTTCGGTAAAGTCACGTAGGTATAAAATAAAATAAATTAAATCACGACGTTTCGATTGCAACACAAGCAATCATCATCAGGTGGGAAAACCGCAGCGAGATTTTTTTTGCTGAAGTGGGAGAGAGAGTTGCCGTGGTTAGAGGTTATAGAGGTCAGAAAGGGGGGAGGGGCAAGGGGGGAGAGAGAGTTGCCGTGGTAAGAGGTTATAGAGGTCAGAAAGGGGGGAGGGGCAAGGGGGGGAGGGGCAAGGGGGGTGCTGCGTGGACGCTAGGAGAGGGACGTGAAGCTGGACGGAGAGAATTGTGGTTTTCCCACCTGATGATGATTGCTTGTGTTGCAATCGAAACATCGTGATTTATTTTATTTTGTTTTATACCTACGTGACTTACCGAAAGAACCAAAGAGTATAGTCAATACATTACTTTACCATTGCACTAACATTTGGTCACCATAAGCAGCTGCGTTCACTACCTGCCAGTGCTCGTGTAGAGAAACATAAAACCACAATCCATACGCTAGAAAGTAGACAAGAAACAATTCAGCACCCCCCCCCCCTACCAGCCTCATTGTTACGTAATTTCCACGTGAATAATAAATTACATGAATCCATACACCATGTGTCTTTGCTGTTATGGTATGGTAATATGGAAAGCCCTTCAACCCCACACCAGATTGTTTCTTCATAAAGGCTTACTTGTTCTTGTGCTATGATACAGAGTTGGATTTGGAAGCAGATGAATAATGGGAGTGAGTAAATATAAACACCGAGATGTAGACAAAAAGGAAATGTTTGTGAAAGAGGCAGACAGTGTTGACATTTTGGCCCAATAGTGGAACATCGTCAAGTGTCATGGAGCCAACTTCAAATTCCGATCATTAAAAGGCCATGATACATTCGTGGAAACTGCAGGGCAATCATTGCCAACTATCGTCATTCGCAACGTATTTACTATGAGCACCTACAATAACTTGGTTCTTAATGAGAAATTGTCATGGTAAAGGAGTAGAATGATGGAGTTCTGTCTGGCAATGATACGTTTTTTTTTAAGTGCGTTTGATTAACTCTATAGAGCACATTGGTAGCCACGTCCACCACTCTCTGTTGATCTGATTGGAAGTTGCCATTCCAATTTCTCACTCAAGGGCAGCAGCAATCGGATTTGTCCAGATATGGGCAACTCAATTGTTTACATCGGAAAATGGTACGGTCACTCTCGCTGGTGACAATTTGCCGGCAAAAAATTTCCCAAATGGATCATGGCCTTAATAACAGGCGCTCGACAGCCTCACCGATGATATCCAGAAAGACGAGCGACACCACCAGATTGATGCCCCAGTTGAGGCTAGTGGTCACAGCGATGGCCCGACCTTTGATGCCAGCTGGAAATATCTCACTCAGCAGCACCCAGGTCACTGTACAGGGGACACGGACACACTGGCACAACAAACACTTTGTATCGCTAATCTAACATTTTAATGCTAGAGGCACCGATTCCCATAGTTGGTGCCTCTATATAACAAGTACTTAATTTTATATTCTTAGTTTTTTCGGTAAAGTCACGTTGAAGAGAAACAACAAAATAACAAAATATATATAAAACAATAAAAAATTCTCACGACGTTTCGACCATAACTCAAACGGTCATCATCAGGTGTGTCGGTTTGCATAAATTTATTTTGAAAACAGCATATTTATTTATTTATATATATAAAAATAACGTTTGCGTCACGCGCAACGATTGGCAGTTTGCCAGGACTAGTCCATCTATTTTTTTGAAAAGAGGAGGGGGGAGACGAAATTTGTTTTTATGTATGCTGTCTGAAAGCCACTGTAAGCGTGAACAATCAATCAAGAACTGAAAAGATTTATCAAATCTTTCCAATGATTGCTAAGATAGAATCCATCTTCTCGGTTGAAATTGTCTCTGTGCTTGTATATGTGGATAGCCTCATGAACGAATCTCTCATGGAAGCCAGATGGCTTACAAATAACCTCTGTCTTGGAAAAGTCAATGGCATGTGAGCCTACTGAATTAGAACAATGATCTGCTACGGCCGAGGTGTTGGTCCTACCGTGTTTAAGGTCCGCTTTATGTTCACGAATGCGGTCCGAGACATGGCGTTTGGTTTCTCCAATGTAAATACTACCACAGAGGCAACTTAGTTTGTAGACACCAGGGTATTGTATGTCCGGAATCACATCTTTTACAGACGGAACCAGATCACGGATTTTATGTAATGTGTTGAAACGGACCTGGATCTTGTGTTTATTCAAGATTTTGGAGATCTTTTTTGTGATCCCAGCAATGTAGGGTAAAGTGATGGTTTTGAAAGGCTCCTCAAGAGGGTTTTTCTTCATGGTTTGAGTGATAGCTTTGCGGATTGTATAGTCGGAGTAACCATTAGCCCTAAGAGCTTGGTGTACGTGCTTGAATTCACTGCTTATGTGTTCCTGGTCGGATATGCATTGGGCTCTATGATACAGAGTCTTGATGAGAGAATTCTTCTGTGATGGATGGTGGTGGGAATCTGGTTTCAGATAAGCATCCGTATGGGTAGCTTTCCTGTAGACAGAGTGGCTCATTGAACCATCAGGTCTCTTTTAATTAGGACATCCAAAAAAGGTATCTTGCCATCTATTTCGACTTCCATGGTAAATCTGATGGCTGGGTGTATGGAATTGATGTGGTCGAAGAATTGGTCTAGAGCAGGCCGGCCATGTGGCCAGATGACAAAAGTGTCATCCACGTACCTCTTCCATAAGGTTGGGCGCAGAGTGGCAGTCTGGATGGCGTCAGTCTCAAATTTCTCCATGAAAATGTTAGCTATAACTGGAGAAAGGGGGGAGCCCATTGGGGTGCCCTCAGTTTGTTTGTAGAAAGTTCCATTCCAAGTGAAGTATGTATTGGTTAAACAGTGTCTCACCAGGGGGGAACCTCAGTGTTTAGTCCTTGATGAACCAAGTCTTCAATGATTGCAATGGTGTCAGGTACAGGAACCTTGGTGAATAAGGAAACTACATCAAAACTGACAAGCAGGTCGTCTGGGGACAGGGAAATACCCTTGATTGTTGATACCAGGTGAGTAGAATTTTGTACCGCAGAGGTGGTTTTTCCAGTGAAAGGACGCAGGATTTCAGACAAAAAACGAGCTAGTTTGTAGGTGGGGGAGCTGATAGTAGAGACTATGGGACGAAGAGGTGTATCAACTTTATGTATTTTTGGTAAGCCGTATAATCTTGGTGGCCTGGCAGCAGAAGGTTTCAACGAAAACTGTTTAGATTGATCAATTAATGCGGTTGAATCAGAAATTATTTTGTTGGTTTGTGTGACGAGGCTGTTGGTGGGATCTCTTTTTATTTTTGTATAACTACCATCGTCGAGTAATTCTTTAATTTTGTTGTTGTATTCTATTTTATCCATGATAACAGTAGCATTGCCTTTGTCAGATCCCACCAACAGCCTCGTCACACAAACCAACAAAATAATTTCTGATTCAACCGCATTAATTGATCAATCTAAACAGTTTTCGTTGAAACCTTCTGCTGCCAGGCCACCAAGATTATACGGCTTACCAAAAATACATAAAGTTGATACACCTCTTCGTCCCATAGTCTCTACTATCAGCTCCCCCACCTACAAACTAGCTCGTTTTTTGTCTGAAATCCTGCGTCCTTTCACTGGAAAAACCACCTCTGCGGTACAAAATTCTACTCACCTGGTATCAACAATCAAGGGTATTTCCCTGTCCCCAGACGACCTGCTTGTCAGTTTTGATGTAGTTTCCTTATTCACCAAGGTTCCTGTACCTGACACCATTGCAATCATTGAAGACTTGGTTCATCAAGGACTAAACACTGAGGTACCCCCCCTGGTGAGACACTGTTTAACCAATACATACTTCACTTGGAATGGAGCTTTCTACAAACAAACTGAGGGCACCCCAATGGGCTCCCCCCTTTCTCCAGTTATAGCTAACATTTTCATGGAGAAATTTGAGACTGACGCCATCCAGACTGCCACTCTGCGCCCAACCTTATGGAAGAGGTACGTGGATGACACTTTTGTCATCTGGCCACATGGCCGGCCTGCTCTAGACTAATTCTTCGACCACATCAATTCCATACACCCAGCCATCAGATTTACCATGGAAGTCGAAATAGATGGCAAGATACCTTTTTTGGATGTCCTAATTAAAAAGAGACCTGATGGTTCAATGAGCCACTCTGTCTACAGGAAAGCTACCCATACGGATGCTTATCTGAAACCGGATTCCCACCACCATCCATCACAGAAGAATTCTCTCATCAAGACTCTGTATCATAGAGCCCAATGCATATCCGACCAGGAACACGTAAGCAGTGAATTCAAGCACGTACACCAAGCTCTTAGGGCTAATGGTTACTCCGACTATACAATCCGCAAAGCTATCACTCAAACCATGAAGAAAAACCCTCTTGAGGAGCCTTTCAAAACCATCACTTTACCCTACATTGCTGGGATCACAAAAAAGATCTCCAAAATCTTGAATAAACACAAGATCCAGGTCCGTTTCAACACATTACATAAAATCCGTGATCTGGTTCCGTCTGTAAAAGATGTGATTCCGGACATACAATACCCTGGTGTCTACAAACTAAGTTGCCTCTGTGGTAGTAGTTACATTGGAGAAACCAAACGCCATATCTCGGACCGCATTCGTGAACATAAAGCAGACCTTAAACACGGTAGGACCAACACCTCGGCCGTAGCAGATCATTGTTCTAATTCAGTAGGCTCACATGCCATTGACTTTTCCAAGACGGAGGTTCTTTGTAAGCCATCTGGCTTCCATGAGAGATTCGTTCATGAGGCTATCCACATATACAAGCACAGAGACAATTTCAACCGAGAAGATGGATTCTATCTTAGCAATCATTGGAAAGATTTGATAAATCATTTCAGTTCTTGATTGATTGTTCACGCTTACAGTGGCTTTCAGACAGCATACATAAAAACAAATTTCGTCTCCCCCCTCCTCTTTTCAAAAAAATAGATGGACTAGTCCTGGCAAACTGCCAATCGTTGCGCGTGACGCAAACGTTATTTTTTATATATATATAAATAAATATGCTGTTTTCAAAATAAATTTATGCAAACCGACACACCTGATGATGACCGTTTGAGTTATGGTCGAAACGTCGTGAGAATTTTTTATTGTTTTATATATATTTTGTTATTTTGTTGTTTCTCTTCAACGTGACTTTACCGAAAAAACTAAGAATATGAATTACTGCAGTCACGAAAGCTTTAAATCAAAATTAAAATACTTAATTTTAATTATTAATATAATTTGCCAACCCGCAAAACTCGCACATGTTATTGACACTCCTGTACAGGGTGCTTTGGGGTATTTGAGCAGCCATTGTACAACTGATAACTGACCACCATGCTTCTAATAATGAAACTTTAACATACTTAATGATACGAATTCTTGATTTACCTAGAAACACATTACTGCGTTCAAAACATCTAAGTTAGGAAGGATTTTGCCTGGAATCTTTGGCCCATTATTATTTGAATGTGGGAAACAAATCGATCCCTATTGATAACCCACATATACGAGAATGCTCAAAGCTCAAAAATAAGCTGTCAGCTACCGCTTGCTATAGTGGGTTATACACACTTCTCATGCTGCTTGTATGATCCAAGTACATTTATAATGCCCCCCTCCCCCACACCCTCCTGAAGACGGTCACTTGCGTTGTGATCGAAACGTCATGATATATTATTTTGTCTACCTACGTGACTTTACCCAAAGAACCAAATAGTATAATATACACTGTGTATCTGTGACCCTGATACATCCAAAACCCCAATATGCATGGCCCCAAATTCATCTGTAAAAAGATGTATCAATCTGCAGAATGATCGTTCTGATCATAATTATCTGTCGTAATTCATGATCAATAGACATCACCCAGAACTGCTCACTCACTGCTGGCACTAAATTAATCCGATATCAGCCACGTTTTTGTTGCAGTTAAGAAAAGTCAAGTGGATGAATTCATCCTATTATCGAAACATAATTTTTATAACTAAAAGGATTTTTTTCTCGGATAATAACATGAAAACTCCCTCTCATCCACAAATGTTACCCGCCAAGAAAGTCCAAGAGGATAAGAGGAGCTCGATTTGGAACGCGTTTTTTTTGGGGTTGCATCTTCCCTTGTTGACGTGTGGCGACGCGGCTTCGACTCACTAGGCCCGTAGCTGAGTGAGAAGGCGCCGACGAAGGCCAGGATGGCGAGCAGCGAGGCCCAGCGGGCGGTGGGGCCCACGCTCACACCTCCATCCTCCACGTGCGTCCAGTTGGCCCACGATGGCCCTGCTCCCGTGCCGCAGTGGCAGGAAGGGGATGATGATGGGTGGTTAAGATTCTGAGCAAAGCAACATTACAAAAATGAAAGTATTTCCACTTATTATCCATTTTTTTTATGACACACTTTTTAGTTCATCAGGCGAGGCCCACCGAGCTCTTTTTCAGAAGCGACCTGGCCACAAATTATCGCTCAACTAAGTGGCTTATTACGTGGAAATTTACAAAATTTATGTGGAGGGAAAAACCGGAGGTCCCGGAGAAAAATCCATGCGACCATGGGGAGAACATGCATACTCAGATGTGCGTGTGCAGCCATCTGGAATACTCTTACTTCCGATATTAGAAAGCCAGCGGAGCTATGCACTTGAAAATCTAAATTGAAAACTCATATCTTTATAAGTGCTTTTAGTGTTTCGTTTGTTGTCCTTCCCCCGCACCTCCGATTAGCGTCGCTGGCTGCGTACGCTGCGAGAGAAGTTCAATATACATACATACAAAGTGACGACGTAATTGCAAAACAACGCAAATGGGGCAGACGTAAATCGGGGTTATTGCTGCACATCAGAATAAACTAAAAGCAATGATGACCTGCCTAGGAGCAGAGCGCTAGAGGCCACTCTAACCGACTGTCGCGCCTGCCCTCGCTCAACGCTGGACAGAAGCAGCCGAGCGAGAGAGACGCCGCTCTCACCGCCCATCGTGTCGTTCCCTCCCGACGCGACGGCGCTCGTGTTCCCGCCCGCTGCGTCCCCCAGGCCAGACGTGGCGGCCGCCACCGCCGCGAGCGAGAGAGCCATGGCGACGGAGCCGGCGAGCAGCGAGCGGCGGCGCCCGACGCGATCCACCACGGCCACGGCCACGGAGGTGGCGGCCACCTTGACGAGGCCGAGGCCCACGGAGGCGAGCAGCACGGAGGCCTCCCCGCGGTACCCCGCCGCGCGGAACACGCTCGCCGCGTAGAAGAGCACGGTGGGCTGGCCCGTGAGCTGCTGGAACGCGACGAGTCCGCCGCCGATGAGCATGCGCGTGCGCATGCTATCCTGAGGAAAACGCGATCAGCGTCAGCGACGGCGATCGTCGCGAGGGCAACGGCAGCAGCTGTTTTTAAACCTTTTCCCGCTCTTCTTCAAATTTTGTTCCGATGACGTATCAGCTGGAAGAAAAACTAAAATAATATAACTTTATCGGTGCCGAGGTTCCCACAAGGCCATGCAGGAGGGCGTGCGGCAGAGTTTCGCGCCAGCTATCATAGGGTGCGATCACGTCGCTACACTCTTTGGCTTTTTCGGTAAAGTCACGTATAAATAAGAAATAATAAAATAACATAATAGCGTACAGTTCTCTACGGTGAGAAGAATTTTGATTTAAAGCTTTCGTGACTGCAGTAATTCATATTCTTAGTTTTTTTGGTAAAGTCACGTTGAAGAGAAACAACAAAATAATAAAATATATATAAAACAATAAAAAATACTCACGACGTTTCGACCATAACTCAAACGGTCATCATCAGGTGTGTTGGTTTGCATAAATTTATTTTTAAACGGCGCATTTATTTATTTATAAAAAACGTTAGCGTCACGCGCAGCGATTTGGCAGTTTGCCCAGGACTAGTCCATCTATATTTTATGAAAAGAGGAGGGGGGAGACGAAATTTTTTATAATGTATGCTGTCTGAAAGCCACTGTAAGCGTGAACAATCAATTAAGAACTGAAATGGTTTATCAAATCTTTCCAATGATTGCTAAGATAGAATCCATCTTCTCGGTTGAAATTGTCTCTGTGCTTGTATATGTGGATAGCCTCATGAACGAATCTCTCATGGAAGCCAGATGGCTTACAAAGAACCTCTGTCTTGGAAAAGTCAATGGCATGTGAGCCTACTGAATTAGAACAATGATCTGCTACGGCCGAGGTGTTGGTCCTACCGTGTTTAAGGTCTGCTTTATGTTCACGAATGCGGTCCGAGACATGGCGTTTGGTTTCTCCAATGTAACTACTACCACAGAGGCAACTTAGTTTGTAGACACCAGGGTATTGTATGTCCAGAATCACATCTTTTACAGACGGAACCAGATCACGGATTTTATGTAATGTGTTGAAACGGACCTGGATCTTGTGTTTATTCAAGATTTTGGAGATCTTTTTGTGATCCCAGCAATGTAGGGTAAAGTGATGGTTTTGAAAGGCTCCTCAAGAGGGTTCTTCTTCATGGTTTGAGTGATAGCTTTGCAGATTGTATAGTCGGAGTAACCATTAGCCCTAAGAGCTTGGTGTACGTGCTTGAGTTCAATGCTTATGTGTTCCTGGTCGGATATGCATTGGGCTCTATGATACAGAGTCTTGATGAGAGAATTCTTCTGTGATGGATGGTGGTGGGAATCCGGTTTCAGATAAGCATCCGTATGGGTAGCTTTCCTGTAGACAGAGTGGCTCATTGAACCATCAGGTCTCTTTTTAATTAGGACATCCAAAAAAGGTATCTTGCCATCTATTTCGACTTCCATGGTAAATCTGATGGCTGGGTGTATGGAATTGATGTGGTCGAAGAATTGGTCTAGAGCAGGCCGGCCATGTGGCCAGATGACAAAAGTGTCATCCACGTACCTCTTCCATAAGGTTGGGCGCAGAGTGGCAGTCTGGATGGCGTCAGTCTCAAATTTCTCCATGAAAATGTTAGCTATAACTGGAGAAAGGGGGGAGCCCATTGGGGTGCCCTCAGTTTGTTTGTAGAAAGTTCCATTCCAAGTGAAGTATGTATTGGTTAAACAGTGTCTCACCAGATTCTATCTTAGCAATCATTGGAAAGATTTGATAAACCATTTCAGTTCTTAATTGATTGTTCACGCTTACAGTGGCTTTCAGACAGCATACATTATAAAAAATTTCGTCTCCCCCCTCCTCTTTTCAAAAAATATAGATGGACTAGTCCTGGGCAAACTGCCAAATCGCTGCGCGTGACGCTAACGTTTTTTATAAATAAATAAATGCACCGTTTAAAAATAAATTTATGCAAACCAACACACCTGAAGATGACCGTTTGAGTTATGGTCGAAACGTCGTGAGAATTTTGTATTGTTTTATATATATTTTATTATTTTGGTGAGAAGAATGTTTTTAAAAATAACGGCGCTACGCCTCTCTAAATAATCTGAATGCTAACCGCTTGAACGTTCCGAGATTCACTGGTGAACAGGACTCATCTTGCAACCTGCAGAAGGGAAAGGGTTACGTAATTCCATGTACGTAATTACAAATGGATCTCAAAAGCGTCTCAACGCTACCACGCCTCAAGAGTGGGCGAAAGAGGTTGCGGGAAGAGGCGACGATCAGTTGTCAGAGAGATGGGAGGTAGTGTGATGACGTGAGGTTGTTAGTCATGGGCGGAGGAGGAGTTGAGAGTCAGGAATTGGACAAGGACAGTCACCAATGCAACCTAGTAAGGAGGAGTTTCAGACAGCAAAGGCGGCAGAGAAGGTGCATTTAAGCTAGAATTGTTTTAATATTTTACCAGGTAAGGCCCACTGAGCGAAATAGCTATTTTTCAGAAGTAACCTGGCCACAAAAGATAGCTCAACGAAGTGGCTTATCACATTGAAATTTAAAGCAGCCAAATACTCTAAACGCATGTTTCTAAATCTGGAGGGAAAAACTGCATGACTCGCAAAAAAATCCACACGACCATGGGGAGAACATACAAACTCCAAATATACAAGAGTCAGGGTCAGGATCGAACCCACGACCTCCTGCATACCAGGCAAGGTAGTAGGTTGGGGAATTTTAAAGGAGGCATTGCTTCATTTTATTCTTCCTTTATGTAAAAATATTATTGCATTTTTTGCAATACATTTTTTGAGTCGTTTCATTCTGACACTGAAATCCCCCTCACAAATTTAATTTGAAGATTATTCACGGCCAATAGCAGTGCCTCTATGCTCATTACCTTCCTCCGCAGAAGGTCAAGCACGCTATATTGCTTCTCCATCTCCAAAGATGATCTGCAGATGAGAAACATTTAATTTGTTTTAAATATATGTACATTCATTCATCAATCTACTGCATCTCGTAGATAATAGAAGGTAACATTGTGACATCACATCTTAAGAGAGGATTGTGCTGCCGTAAGAGCTGGGATAACATTCAAACGAGCACAAATCTACGGACGGTACGGAGCTTCCTTCCCTTGGCTGTCAGCACTGTTGCCCGAGTCTCCGTTTAAGCCCCAGGCTCAAGACTTATCTCCGCTTCCCGGCCTATGACTGACCACGGTGTTTGTTCTCACCATCACACCACTGATGTCTGCTTCCCTTATATATCCGGTCCCTAACCTTTCCCTCCATATTAAACACATAAAATCCCTCCTCTTCTGCATAATTTGATAACGTGCCTTTTGACAAAGTACCACGTACAGCATCTTTAGACACTGTGTCGATGGAAGAAGTATTGCGACATGTATACAAATGACCAACTTTCAATACAAATATAAAAGGCTAAGCTATTTTGATATTGCAACTAATATAAGGTTCTGCTCAGTGTCGTACACCATTGTGTATTCTTCTTCGTACGGCTGATGTTGATGTAGAGCAGGAGTGGGGAACCTTTTTTCTGCCCAGGGCCATTTGGATATTTATAACATCATTCGCGGGCCATACAAAATTATCAACTTAAAAATTAGCCCGTTATATTTGGTCAAACATTTAATTAACTCACCCCTAATGTGATGGCTGGAACTGCTTCTCTTTGGTGAGGCGTGTGATGATGTTAGCTGGTATTGACGATGTTGCTACTCCCGACTGATTTTCCAGGTTTGCTCCTAGATTTATTGAATTTCCAGTCCCGCCTGCGGTTGCCTTGGCAGGGCCAGACCAAATTATTTTGCGGACCTTATACGGCCAGCGGGCCAGACGGTCCCCACCCCTGATGTAGAGCAACAGATATATATAAAAAAAAAAATATACGTTTTTTAGGATTGATTAATAAGACGTTCTTAGCAAAATCATCACTGTACCATTACACACATTTCAGCTTTACCCTCAGAAATGTAAATCCACCACCGGTTTATTTAACTCACCAACAGTACCGGCTCAACCAGTGGGCCGGTTCAAATGGAGGCAGCCACAAACGACTGCACCAAAATTAACCATCATGTGCAATGTCGCTTTCTCTTCATTTGGAAACATTCCTTGGTTAATACCGCAAGTATATTAACCATAACATAGGCTCAATCTGCTTCACAGTGGACATTAAGATTCCGTGATGTAATGAGGAGGCTGTTGTGTGCCAGTGTCATGGTCAACATTTTTTTTACTTTACAACACTCAATTTTGATTTCACAAAGCAACATCGCCCCTACTGTTAAACTATTGCACACTGTGTGTGAAAGATTGCGCCTTCACGTGAGTCATGCAATATAAGACTAATGCGTATACCAAATGTACTAAATTATTACGTAGCTTCCCCTAGTGAGGATATTTGGTCACTTGAAGGGAACTCAGAAGTGGTTCTGTGATACCCTCTTCTGCGGGCCATTGTCTGATAATCGGTGATGAAGTGCGGCGGACATATCGTCTCATGACACAATGCCGATAGCACATTTAGGATAAAACTGTGGAAAAAACTTTCTGTTTTCAAACGCAAAACTGAAAATCGCCCTTTGATGGCTGCTAAAATCTTGACCTGAGTGCGTCGATCTCTGCGCTGACATCCTGCTGGCCCAGGATCCTGCGCAGGGTCCTCTCCGCGGCCTCGGCCTGCCCGCACCGCAGCAGCGAGCTCGGCGACGCGGGAAGGCACGCGACGAGCAGCATCACCTGCGCGAGGGCCGGCACGCAGCACAGGCCGAACATCCACCGCCACGGCGCGACGCCGCCCACCGTGCCCCCGGGGCCTCTCCCCAGCACGAGGTTCGCGGCGTACGCGGCGAGCACCCCGCCCGTCACGCCCAGCTCGTAGGCCGACACGAGGGCCCCGCGGCGGCGCGGGTGCGCCACCTCGGCCACGTAGACGCACGTCGCCACGGAGGACGCCGCGATGGCCACCCCCACGACGGCGCGGCCCCCGAGCAGCGCGGCGTACGAGGGTGCGCACGCGAGAAAGGCGCTGCCCGTCACCAGCAGGGCGCCGCTGCACGCCACGGCGGAGCGACGGCCCAGCCGGTCGAGGAGGGGCCCGCCCAGGAGCGAGGCGACGAGGGCGCCCGCCAGCGCGGCGCCGACCGCCAGCTCCTGCTGTGCCGAGCTCAGCAGGAAGCGATCGCGGAGGTGCGGCAGCGCGCCCGAGGGTACGGCCAGAGCGTAGCCGAAGGCGAGGCCGCCCAGCGCAGCCACGGCGCATGTGGCCGCCAGCAGGATGGCAGAGCCTGCGTGCACGCACACACACACGTTAGTATGTGTGTGTGTGTACGTGCGTTAGTAGCCAAGCCAACGTGAGCAGTGCTTGTCGTTTTACTGTCTGTACTACGTCGCTGAGAGCCTGCGTGCACGCACACGTCAGTGTGTGTGTGTGTACGTGCGTTAGTAGCCAAGCCAACGTGAGCAGTGCTTGTCGTTTTACTGTCTGTACTACGTCGCTGAGAGCAACCGCCATTTAATTCGATGCTTGTATCGTGAGCTTAAGAATCAATATTAATGTATGATTGGAAGCACCCTTAAGTGTATTCTCAAAATACTGTATTAATTCAGAGGTGTCTTGTCATTATGGTCAATGAATGAAGACTATATTTTTTCCCATCGATAGCGTATAACGTTAATTAAGTCATTTTTTTAAATATATAAAATACTCTTGATATACTTCATAAAAAAGGGTAATAAAAAAACACCAGAAAAATTGTGCAGCTCGCAAACCCAAAGCACCTCCGATTTGCACAGTTGGCTACGTACGGAGCGAAAGAAGTTCAACATACATATGGAAGTTCATATACAGGACAGCAACAATCTGGGACTCCACGTTGCTATGAAGTGTGGAGGAGGCACAGCGAGTAACACGTCAGCATTCCTTTGCATGTTATACAATGTTTGAGCTTTAAATGTAAATTTTCCACTTTGTTTTTTTCCTTACTTTTTTAGGGTACCCCTATTCCCCCAAAAAGTGTGACACGGTTTATTAACTATTTTGAGGGCACACTGAAAGGATAAATACAATTAAATGTAGGGGAATATCAACAGGATTAAACTCTAAATTACAGGTGCTAAGTAATTCTATTGACTCGCATCATTCAGCGAGTCACATATGTGTTGGCAGATTCGACAGGGTGTGCAGTGGTGAGTGTATACGAGTGGCCGAGTGCTTCAATCGACATAGATTATTGCGTCCCAAGTTGTCACGAACTCGAATGTTCCAGTATTAGAATAGGTTTTAACTTTTCTGGCAATAATACACGCGTTAAGATGTCCAAACGCCAAACAAAAACCTCTTACAAGGAATCACGTCTGCATTAACCACACATACTTGTGGTGAGAACACGCAAACAAAAGCACATGTGGTTAATGCAGGCATGATTCCTTGCAAAAGACTTCCGTTTGGTGTTTGGACATTTTAACACCTGTGTTGTTGCCAGAAAGGGAAAAACCTATTCTTATACTTTGATACTGGCAAGAAAGGCGAATGTTACAGACACTGCAATACCATGGTGGTGAAGCTGCGATCACAGTGCTGTAGCACTCCTAATCGGATTATTCCGCTTACAGTAATCACAGCCGAGGTGGCACGTTTTGCTTAGAGAATACCTGGAAGTTGGCACAAAACGCATATTCATTGGATTCCAAGTGAATGAAAGGAAATAGCTAAGGTTCAGCAAGTGGCTTATGATGCTAATGCGGGTATTTTTTAAAACATTAATCTGGTTAAAAAATATAATTATCTTCACGCCGTGATATTAAAGATTAGTTTAACGTCTTAATCTTGCAGGTGTGAACATTTTTAAGTGACTGTATAGGTGTATGTGTATATATTGTATAGGTGTATGTAAAGGTGCAGCCCTGAAATGTCTCTCTGTCACTGCTGATGGAAGGGCCTCTACTAGTGGGAGCCCATCTGGATGTTTTTTTGGTCTCTACTCTTCCCCAGTAGCCAAATAGTTTTTTTTATACCGGTGGAAGTATCCACATTTTTTCACACCACGCGTGCCCTGCCTTCTGATCGACCATCTGTGGTTGTCTCCGTTAATACTGCCAGGTGGATAGACGGGGTGGGAGGGATTCAATAAACTTGCCCGTTGTTTCAACTGCTGTTGTGGGAGATTGAACCGATGACCCTTGGGGATTGAAAATCCAGTAGGCTAAGCATTTTATATCAGAGCAGCATCCATTTAAAATGCGATGTTAAATTATTTATAATTACTGTCAGTAAACTTTATAGAAAAAGGAGATGATCACAAATCATAGTCACGGGGTCAGGGGACATGTTCACGATGACAAAAGGCCATAACATGCATGAAGCTAAGGATATAGAAGAGACACATCGACGAGGGCAGAGACTCATCATAAAGAGTGGAACTCCTCCTATCCGCCATGGTGTAGGGGTCAAAACTTGACAATCACATTATCCGTGGGATTGCCCGCAAAATTACTCCCCTTACCCGTGAAAGAAATGCAAGTAAATTCGAATAGGATGGGCTTGCCGATGAACTCCTCTTATCAGCAAATATAATTTAAAAAATAGGGAGAATTACATCCCAATAATTGCTGTATAAATCTAGATAATATATTGGGGGTGTTTTCTAACACCAAGACTCACACTGGTCTGAGAGGGATCTGAAAAAGTCCTCTCATGAGACCAATAGTAGTCACGGTGGCGAGATGGTAACTACCTCGCCTGGTCTGGTATGCAGGAGATCGTCAGTTTGATCCCAAATCTGATGCCTGTATATTTGTAGTTTGATGTTCTCCCTGTGGCCGCGTGGATTTTTCTCTGGGTCCTCCGGTTTTTTTACCTCCACCTTTGAAAAAATTAGATTATTGTATTTGGCGGCTGTAAAATTCCACGCGATAAGCCACTTCATTGAGCTATCATTTGTGGATAGGTCGCTCTTGAAAAAGCACTATATAGCTTAGGAGGTCTCGGGACAGACCCAGCAGGTACCATGGGTCGGCTGACTGAGATGACCGGTAGATGCACCACCAGCTGTAACCCTCCTACTGTGCCAGGCTAGGTGCAGGAGGTCTCGGGACAGACCCAGCAGGTACCATGGGTCGGCTGACTGAGATGACCGGTAGATGCACACCAGCTGTACTCTCCTACTGTGCCAGGCTAGGTGCAGGAGGTCTCGGGACAGACCCAGCAGGTACCATGGGTCTGCTGACTGAGATGACCGGTAGATGCACCACCAGCTGTAACCCTCCTACTGTGCCAGGCTAGGTGCAGGAGGTCTCGGGACAGACCCAGCAGGTACCATAGGTCGGCTGAGATGACCGGTAGATGCACCACCAGCTGTAACCCTCCTACTGTGCCATTTTAGGTGCAGGAGGTCTCGGGACAGACCCAGCAGGTACCATAGGTCGGCTGACTGAGATGACCGGTAGATGCACCACCAGCTGTACTCTCCTACTGTGCCAGGCTAGGTGCAGGAGGTCTCGGGACAGACCCAGCTGGTACCATAGGTCGGCTGAGATAACCGGTAGATGCACCACCAGCTGTAACCCTCCTACTGTGCCAGGCTAGGTGCAGGAGGTCTCGGGACAGACCCAGCAGGTACCATAGGTCGGCTGACTGAGATGACCGGTAGATGCACCACCAGCTGTAACCCCCCCTACTGTGCCAGGCTAGGTGCAGGAGGTCTCGGGACAGACCCAGCAGGTACCATGGGTCTGCTGACTGAGATGACCGGTAGATGCACCACCAGCTGTACTGTGCCAAACTTGCTCCATTTTATCCGCTCGTTGTTGTGAGCGTCGCTCCTCTGCCCTACGTTGTTGCTGGAGGACGACTGCCTCCGATTGCCCCAGTACCAGCGTCCTCGCTACACGACAAAGCACACGCACACACAGGCAGGCAGGCAGACTGACTCCGAGTGAGAGCGAAGTGGATGCGCGCTCCCTCACCTCCGTGCGAGTCTGACTCCAGAATCTGAAGCGGCTCCATCATCCGTGCTGACGAGCCGCTGCCGCCGCTGCCGCCTTCCCACAGCTTTCACCCTCCCACCCAAAGTTAAACACAAACAACAAAAACAATGAAGTCATGCATGAACGGCGACCGCCCCCCCCCCCTACCACCACCACGTTTTTTCTGCTCGTAATTAGTTAATAATTAGCCCATGAGCCGCGCATGGGCCCGCTGCCGCCGATTTACATAAATACAAAACGCGCGGTCAACTTGGGAACATCGTCACGGTTGAGAATTGCCTCGCTCGCTCTAAATAATAATAAAAAAAACAAAACCGCGTCGTTAAAATGTCCTCTTTGCCCCGTTTCGTTGTTGCTGTTCGTTTTTTTTTAAAAGTAACTTTTTTTGTTTGTTTTTTGTTCACGCCGCTGCTAGCTCGCCCCTTGGTGAACAACTTTGAGAGCCAGCGAGCCCCTAGCGGTCGGCGTCTAAGATTGTTTGTTTTTGGGTTCCGGCTAACAGCGTCTAGAGTTTTTTGGTTCCGGCCACCCGTTTATATTTCGCACAGCGCATAAGTTAGCCCCATTTCCCCCCCCCCCTCCTCCCCCCCCCCCCACTAAATCGACGACGCGTTAGGCCAATCGCGCGCGTTTACCTCGGGCGCGTGCGCGCGCGGGACGTTGGCCAATCACGCGGAAGCATTGTTTGCCGGCTTCGCCCATGCGCTCTAGGAAATGTAAAAGAGCGGTGGTGGGTGGGGGGTAGGGCTGAACGCGTTGGTTTCAATGAGACGGCGGGGTTGGCTGTTCCTGTGTTTGTGTGTAAATCTCGGGTTTTACATTTAAATAGTAACAAGAAGACAACACAAATATTCAGAGTTTTGCCTCCTTATCGCCGCACGATGGAGGACGACGCTCCCGTCATCTACGGCATCGAATTTCAGGCACGTGAGCTGTTTCCACGTAAATAACGAGGGGCTCGTTTTTACGCCTCACGCCGTGAAGCGCTTCTAGGCCCCGAAACGTTCCAGAGGTTCTATGCGTGTGTGTGTGTGTGACACATGTGTGTTGTGTTTTTTATATATATATCTGTGTGCGTTATATACAGTGTGTATGTAGTCCGCATGCCAAGCCACCGCATGGCTAAACAGCTTTTGTTCGGCCGGATCGAGGGGACTAAACGGGCACGGCACGGGCTAGAGAAGAGATGGAGTGACGTGGTACAGGAGGCATGGGGCTAGAGAAGAGATGGAGTGATGTGGTACAGGAGGCACGGGCTAGAGAAGAGATGGAGTGATGTGGTACAGGAGGCACGGGCTAGAGAAGAGATGGAGTGATGTGGTACAGGACGTGGAGCTGAGTGGACTTGCCGATGACTGGTACCAGGGGTGTCAAGATCGGCCTCTGTGGAGGAGGCTCGTGAAGGATGCTACTGGGCAGTTGGAGGCAGTCGCCCTCCAACAACAACGGAGGGCGGAGGAGCGACGCTCACAACAACGAGCGGAGCGCCGGGTGGATAAAACGCACACAGTTGGCACAGTGGGGAGCACAGCTGCTGTATCTGCCAGTCATCTCAGTAATTCGACCCATGGCACCTGGGTCTGTTCCGTGACCTGTCAGCGGGCCTTCGACATTTCACATGGCCTCAAAGTGCACCTAGCCTGGCAACAGGGGCCGTGGTGACATCGTAGTCACTTAGTGTCGAATGGCCGGTATTGGTGTTGGCACTGTTTAGCAGACTTCTACAGAACCCTGCAACCAGTGCTTAATTTCCCGGCCACGGCAAACGTCGGTGGCAAAGTTTGTGAGCGCATTGTGTTACTCGTATGAGCCATACATACCACTTCAGTGCATACCAACACTGGGGAAATCAATAGTGATTGTCGTAAAGAGAAACTCGTCCCCCGCCATAGGAATGTGGAATTGCCACCACCGGCTCGGGGCTGTAAACAGGAGGTGAGCACCGCCTCGCGTTCTCATTTGAGAAGGAAATCACTTAGGATTTTTGCGTTCATGAATATGCCTTAGACCTTGACTCGGTAGACTCAGCCTTAGACGAGCATCTGGTGACATTGCGTAAACATCAGCACCCGTCACTGACATCACTCAGTAGGTGATCATCGTTAACAGCGCCTGTCCCAACAGTCTATAAGGCTTTATAAGAGGGTATCTTGCATTTTTCCTATGACTAAAAACATCCTCGTCAGATCTCGGAAAGCTCAGCAAGAATTGAGGCTGGTTATTGCTCTGATGGAGGATCATTATTCATAACAGATCTTATGGGCCACGGTTATAAGTGGTCCTCAGGGGACAGTGTAGCAACATTGATTTTACTATAGTAACTATACAATGCTGTCATACTCAGATGTCTAGATGATCACAATATAGTATTTATTAAAGATATGCTTTTCATAATTTAGTCGTGGACTCAAATTATTTATTGACTTGTATTTATTTCTCCGATAATCAGAACACAACTCTTTTCTCCAGTGTAACCATTTCACTCACTCCCATAACACCCATGTGTTTATAACAATCTCAATTACAGCCTAACCCTACCCGAACCCAAAGCCACATACAGCCTTACCACTCCACCTCATGTCTATTCCCTTAATAGTTTCATTCCAACCTCCTCATCCCCTCTCCTGACCAAATCGGGTAACTTGACAGTTCAGAATAGAACATGAGGAAATAATTATAATAAGGCAGAGCAATGCATAGTGTAGTCGGGAAAAGGAGGTTGCCATGGGTGGGTCACGTGTGCATTATGTGAGAAGGCAGTTGACCAAGACAGACGTTCCAGTGACACCCAGAGGTCGGTGACCAAGAACAAGACCTACATTCAGATAGTGGGGCACTTAAGAGTGGACCGTGGTGGCAGGGTGTCCAACAGAAATAAGGGATGATGGTGTGTGCTGGCAATAATGTATTTTTTGTGATTACCTTGATGCTGTTCATCCCCTCGCATTAATATTTCCTCTCTTTCTGTACATCCTCCTTCCCCAGTCTGCTGAAGCTCTGTTCTGCATTACTCCAGCTGATGGGATTCTAGCCAAGTTGACTCGATTAACAGACTAATTTACCGATGGGTTCATAAACCCGTACGTGTGGACCTATGAGTATTATTGCCTTGTATGCTTGGGATTTCTCTGGGTACTCCATTGTTCCTTTCACATGCACAGGACCCTTGAAAAATGTATTCGTCACGCATTCTAATGCAAGAGTATCATGAAAGAAACTTCCCTGCATAAATGACACAAGTTACAGCTCTGTTATTCAATCCTCTCTTCAAATTTAGTTCGCAAAATCAGTATAGATGTGCCTGATTTAAATGCCATTCTTAAGTATCAGAGATACTCAGAACGTATTGATCTATAAAATGTGTCGAACCAGTACACAAATACCATACAGGGTAGCAAGATTAAAATGTTCTTATGGTCCATTATAAGTCTAAGCAATGCACACTTGCCATGTAATATCACAAAGAGTATTCTTAAGTGCAAGCCAATTTGTTGTCCATTGAATTTTGAAACGTGCATCGTATTGAAATATATTCATCTTAACATGATTAAATGTGTAGCTAAACAATAATTTTGTATTGATACACTTCGCGAATCAAAACTGCAGAGTGCAAACTATAAATGTTTACACCTTTTTTTCCCAATTTAGGCTCGAACATTGACTGCACAAACAGCCGAGACAGATGCTATCCGCTTTCTTGTCGGAACACAGTCGATGAAATTTGACAATCAGGTATGGAAATTAAACATCGCTGTAGTTTTTGTATTGTAATGCTGCTGTACAACTTATACAGGGGGTAGCATAACATGCCCTTGCAATGGGCCTATAATTATAAAATGCCTAAAATATTGAATTATCTGGATAGATAACCAAATGGTTATAATGCAGCCCAGAAAGCCAATTTGTGTTCATTCTAATTATTTGTATGTCCTAGAAAGTCATCTTTCCCCGTGATAAAATAACACACGTGCCCCACATGGCAAAGGTAACAACTGAAGACAAAAAAAAACCGAGTAATATGCCTTCGTGTTGAAAGAGATTGTGTTTTTTCGTGAGCCAATGAAAATTATCACTTGCTATGCATTTCCGTACAGGTGCACGTGATTGACTTTGACGATGAGAACAACGTGATTAATAAGACCGTGTTCTGCCATCGCTCTGGTGAGGTGTGGCACATCAGCGCCAGCCCTGGGGACAAGAATGTGGTGGCGACATGCTACAACACCAGTAAGAACCTGCGGGCGAAGGTCCAAACTTGATGACTTGTGCACATACACTGCAAACTCCAAATGACGACTAATAATGCTGCTCGTTGAATGATCAATTTCACGATTGGCCAAAATGACACAAACAGATGTGCTTGGTTAGTTTGTGTAACATAAATAGCAGTGTCCTCCATTCACTGTGTTTTTAGAGCTTCAGTTTCCAGGCCATGACTATAGTTTGTGTGCGTGCGCATCATTTGTGCTGATGCTTAATTACAAACGGGTTTTATGGTGTTTCACTCACTGATCATAGCTATCTTGATTCAATTGATGGTCATGTAGAACATCAGTGGCAAGTCATATCTGAACATGGCCAAGGTCTGCCATTGATAAAAAAAAATATTTATAATGTAATCATCTGACACAGCGTCAACATTTATAGTTGTCATTCAAACAACAACCAGGAGTAGTTGTGGCCCACACCACCACCCCTTGTTGTGTTGGCAAGTCTGACATTCGCGACAGTTCGATGAGGATTCACTCGTGATATATATATTTTTTCCCCCTTCCTCGATCCATGTTCGGGCACGACTACACAGTGGTGGACAATAAGCTGCAGTCGTGTGCGTCCGTGTGGCGCATCCCGAGGGATTTTGATTCGGGCAGCAGTGAGCCTGCTGACGAGAGTGGAACCAACCCACTAGCCCTGGAGCTGCTTTGTCACTTTGACAACAGTGGCCACGGAAACATGGCCAGGTGAGAACCCTGGAGCTTTTCAAGCACTTATGCAAGCAAATGCTTTTAACTTTTCATTGTCAACTTCGTCTCAGTATTTGTTATATTCACGCGATAAATAAGCACGCACCTAAGCGTTAATTGTAATTATGTATTACACATCAAGTTTGAACCAAATCTTGAGCACGTTATTGAAGATGGAAAAGTACATTGTGGTGAGTTTCACAGGATCTTATAGAAAAAAATACTTTCATAATAAAATTGGAATGATGTTGGAATATCCGGTATGAAAAAGATGAGTGGTAAGATAAGTCTTGAAGATGGCATCACTCGTGGACTTCTTGATGTTGTGTGTTTCTACAGCCAGTCTTCCCAATGCAGTACAGGCAAACACACGATCACCCCAACATGCTGAGATCTACGTTGGCTTTCGTGACCACTATTATTCATAATAAAGGTTTTTGGGTTAGATCGCGTTATTTATAAATGTGTTGCAACCCTCCACCACCCGACACAGACACAAGCACGTCAGGTTTACCGGAAGATATTCCAAAACTAGCCGACCATTGTCTAAATAACACTTTAAATTTCGATTTAAAGCTTTCGTGACTGCAAGGATTCATCTTCTTTGGTTCTTTCGGTAAAGTCAAGTAGAATGAGAATAAAATAATAAATTGATAAAATAAAATAACACAATAATATTCTCACGATGTTGAAGGCCACTTGTGTTGTGGCCGAAACGTCGTGAGAATATTGTGTTATTTTATTTTATCAATTTATTATTTTATTCTCATTTTACGTGACTTTACTGAAAGAACCAAAGAAGATAAATAACACTTATTTCTTGTGGAGAGGTGACATCATTAAACAAAAGGAAGGAGCAGCAATGGGCTCTCCTTTTTCTCCTGCTATCGCAAACATGTACATGGAAAACTTTGAAACAAGAGCACTTGCCTCAAGTACAATAAAAAACATATTTTAGTTTATATATGTCTATGACTCTGGTTGTCTGGCCACATGATAAAGATACACTTATTTCAGTTTTTCAATCATCTCAATGCACAAAACCCAGCCATTCAGTTCACCATGGAAATGGAGGTGAACAACACACTCCCATTCCTGGATATTTTGCTTGGACGCGGTCAAAATGGCAAAATAACACACACAGTGATTACCGAGAGGGAACACACACTAATGCCTATCTGAATGCAGATTCGCATCATCACCCAGCACAGAAATGCTCTCTCATCAAGACACTCATACATCGGGCAAAGACCGTGTCAGATGGTGAAAGTTTAGGGAAAGAGATTAAACATGTTAAAGAAGCACTAAGACTGAATGGCTACAATAATGCTCAAATTAACAGAGCATTGAATGCCTAATCAAGGTCGAACAACAATACTGCTGAAAGTGATCAGATTATCAAAACAATTAAATTACCATACATCTCGGGAGTTACTGACAAATTAGCCTGTGTTTTGCAAAAGCAAAACATTAAAGTGAGATTTGGTATGGTACACAAAATAAAAAAAAACTAGTGTCTTGTACTAAAGATGAATTACCGAAGGTATCAACAGAAGGTGTTTATCGGATTAATTGCTTATGCGGTAAGTGTTATATTGGACAGACGGGACGTAACATTAGTGTAAGACTAAAAGAACACCAAAGGAACATTAAATTCTCCCAAACACAGCAGTTAGCAGTGGTAGAGCATGCTTGCCAACAAGGACATTCAATTGATTTTGATACCGTTGAAGTGTTATGCAGAACTAATTATTACTGGCCAAGATTAGCTAGAGAATCAATTGAAATTTAGAAGAATTCAAATAATTTTAATCGTTGTGATAGCAATAGACTCAGCGCAGCCTGGAAGCGTATTATTAAGTAATACACAACACATTGCAATTCCTTAAAGGTGAGGCACATGCTAAGTCTTAGGCTGATTACTGATCTATTACATAATTGCATACACCCCCACCTCTGATCTCGATTCCTGATGGGGTTCAACAATGATGACGTCATCCTGCACGATTTAAGACCGCAACCAGGTGGATCGCTTCACTATTCTGGCAAATGGCCACTCTTCAATACACCGGTGGGCTAAAGTAGTGAAGTATTTGTATTTTCATAATAAAGGTTTTTGGTTTAGATCGCGTTATTTATAAATGTGTCGTAACCCTCCACCACCCGACACGGCCAATCAGCAAAAAAGTGTTACGTTGACAAAAGACATAATTCACTACTTTTGCCCACCGGTGTGTTGAAGAGTGAATCCACAACATTTACAGTTTGAGTACGACGTTTCACTGGTAATTACATCCAGCATCATCGGGCAATTCGCCAGAATGGTAAAGCCCTCGCTTGCACACGGTCTTAAATAGAGCAGCAGGGTGACGTCATCATTTAACTCATTTCAGGTGCAGTGATATGAGGCGGAGGGGGGGTATTGTAATTATGTAATCGATTAGTAATCAGTCAATGGTTATGATTAGTAATGAGTTGTAGATTAGTAATTAGTTGTAATGTGGTGTAGTGATTATATGCTATGTTAGTAATCCGTTAATTAGTATGTGTTTCCCCTATAAGGAATTGTAATATGTATTATTTAATAATACGTGAAAGCCTACGTGTTAAACTATTTGTCTTTTGTAAACGTGACACATTTTTTTACTGATTGGCCATGTCGGGTGGTGGAGGGTTGTGACACATTTATAAATAACGCGATCCAACTCAAAAACCTTTGTGATGAATGATGAGATCCGTGGATGCACTAACTTCAGATCTTCACTTCATGGTCTGAATAGTCCATAGGTGCTTTGCCAAAGTACCTGAAAACATAAAGTAATGTCAATTACATTTTCTCAGAATTATGGGTGGCTTGACGGGTTATGCCCATTCGTGTGGCGAGATGTTAACTACCTCGCCTGATATACAGGAGGTTGTGGGTTCCATCCCAACCCTGACGCCTGTATATTTGGAGTCTGCATGTTCTCTCCGTGATGGCTTGGATTTTTCTGCAGGTCATCTGGTTTTTTCCTCCACATTTAGAAACATGCGTTTAGACTAGAGTGTTTGGCTGCTATGTTTTTTCACGTGATAAGCCACTTCGTTGAGCTGTAATTTGTGGCCAGGTCGCTTCTGCAAAAAGATATACAGCTCAGTGGGCCTTACTTGGTAAAAAAAAAACATTGTTTAGTTTAATAACATGTCACAGCAATGAGCCGTCACCACTAAGATCTTGAGTGTGTAACTTGGGCAGCCATAAGTTGATGATCCCCCCCCCGGCCATCATAGACTGCACAGCAAGGCCTGCAATATAAATTAGATCCTTGACTTAATGTGGCCCAGCTCTGCCATGAGAGATAAAATGTTTATAGATGTTTGATGTTTGGCACACAGTGAACTGGTATCTAACGAACATGAAAAACAGACATTGAAGAGACTGCAGATTTTTTGTATCTGGGGGCTTTACCCGGTAAAATTAAAATAGTTTAGTTTTAATGCATATTAGAGTGATTTACTAATCTTTCCTATACTTTGCACTCCTATGGTTATTTTGTGTTGTTTGTTGTTGTAACTGACCTGCTCCTACTGGACGTCTGTGAAAAAGACCTTCATAGCTCATCGGTGTCTCCAGGATAAACAAAGATTCTGAATTAAAGGAATGCGCGTTTCCGTCGTGCGTGCAGTGTCTTATGGGAACCCCTTGGCGATGGCAGTAAGGCAGTCACTCTTTCCGACAACCGCCTGCTATGCTGGGACCTAAAGGAAAGCTCCACGCAAGCCGTTGTGAGTTGTGTTTCGGTTAACTTTGCGCCCTCTTAACACAGACGTCCTGCGCAATACTGCATCTCGTTCTTACATCATATTTGGCTGGGTGACACAGTGGTTAGGACGTTTTACCTGCTTTCCGAAGGCTGGGAGTTTCAAATCCCAGTTGGTGGTCACCACGGCCCTTTGTGGTTGATATAATGACTACCACTTTGCGGGAAGTTGATCGTGGTTGTCTTTTAGATAGAGTAGCCTCTGCGCTGGGACTGTGGCGTTCTTCACAAATGGCTAAGTGCTGTGAACAGGAGATGTGCTTCATCCCACGCTTGTGTGAGCAATAATCTTCTTTTACTTCTTTGCTCACATCTAACGTGATATATATATATAATGCATGGAACTTTCATGCCTCCAAATAACAAGACCCATCGGTGCATTTGGGATTAATTCAAATTGCAAAACTGAACACACTCACTGATGACACTGCCTTGCAAAGGGAATATATATAACAGGTTATCTTTCGGACAATGGTCATACATACACACCGCTTCACTTAACATGTACAGAACATGCTCACATACCTGTATTACATGTATATGTGTGCGTATTCACGATATAACTCAAATCAACATTTACTTCAGCATATGGCTTAAGATAAGTAATGACTGCTGTGAGTTGCAAAGGTAGTAATGATTAATGGAGAGAGATTAAATCAACTTATGAGTTTCTTTATAGCAGAGATATTCCTGGTGTTTCGCGATACATGGAGCTATAAGCCACATGGTGTGAAGGCCCTTTTAACATTCCATAATGTCTTGTGAATAGTGTTATTATTTAACCATCAAATCATGGTGCGCATGTGCCTCTGGAAAGTACTGCGCGGCCATGTGCGTCATTGGAAATTGTGTTTGGAATTGGATTTCCCATTTGTTGACGCAGCTGAAACTCAGCCACCTGATATATTGGGTTAACATCAGTTGTGGAGGGACAACGCTGATTGCATGCTGTGCTACGCCGCCGAGTGTGTGTTTACGTTTGCGTCTGCACGTGCGCGCACGTGTGTATGTGTGTGTTGAAGTTGTGGGGAGCGGTAGTGTCATGGTTAGCGTTTTGCGCTACGAACCAGGCGACCCGAGTTTAATTCCTGCTCTCACGGCCAACACCAATGACGATTTTCTGCACCGGTTCTGGGCCTCCCCTAGGTCGAGTCAGCCTTAAATGAGTCGCTGTTGCAGTGTGTAAACATCACCACGAGGGAGACAAAGACAGCCCGGTGTGGTGCCGGCTACCCACCCCCTCGTGTGCCGTTACGGCCTTCATAGGTGCTCGTTAACAGCACTTGCCCCAACAGTCTGTTTTTTGTGTTGAAGTTGACGAGCTCCACATCACTGGAGGGGAAGGGTCAGCTGAAGTTCACTGCGGGACGCTGGAGCCCCCATCACAACTGCACGCAAGTGGCGACGGCAAACGACACGGTCATCCGTGGTTGGGACATCCGGTCCATGAGGCAAGGAAACTACTCAACAACTGTGCCTTCAAAAACAGCAGGCTCAAGCACAGCTCTCAGCCCTGTCAGTCTGAATACACCCACATCAGAGAAACCTAATACATATATTCATGACGCATTGCCAACCCGATATTGAATAATAGTTTTTTTTAACGGTGCAATTGATTAAAAATGTAGAGGTTCTTTGTGCCCTGCCATATCCTATTTGTTACACTTATGATTGTGAATGAGTGGATGCTTTCTGAGTACAACATGCTAAATACTGATAAACTTGGCTTACATTGCGTGAGAATGTTTACTACAGGTGAGATGTGTATACATTTTGATTCGAAACATACACAAATAATTATTATGCTACACGGCTGTGAAAATGGAACTGAATTTTTTAAGTGTAAATAAACCTCAGGGTATTTTTTGTGGAATTACTTTGGGAGATGGAGGAACACGCCGACTGTAGATCTTACACAGGTTTTGTATATAGAACTTTTTTTTGCACCCTACGTAGCCAATCGTGCTAATCGTAGGTGCTGTCAAGAAAAAGACGTTTGCTTGAATAGGACACGTCGCAAGAAACTACGATGGCCGGTGGTCGAGAATGACGACACGAGTGGCAGTCAAAGGGAGGCAACGTGTCCAGCAGTGCGTCGTCGACTTTGGAGACGAAACGATGACGTGGGCTGGCGCGCAGGTGCTGGGTGGCTTGTTACATTGCAGGGCCTTGAGCGACGCTGACGGCTTTGGGAAGCTTTCATCCAGCAGTGAATTGACGGCGGATAATGATGTTTATAGAGTTGGGCGATCTGCAATAATTATTGTGTGTGTGTGTGTCATCTGACCACAGAAGCTTAATAGGTTCCAGGATTAATAGAACTTGGAGAAAGGACGGTGAGTAAAATTAGATGAGTTTTGAGAAACTGTATGATAGCAACTCTCAGGTGGTGCGTTTAATATTCACGTTTTGGTTGGGGGGGGGGGGAGGTCAACTCAGACCTTCAACCCTCCAGGGTTGCTACATCGAGTGCCGCATTTTGGGAAGCCATCGTGGTGTGGGAGTGATTTCGACGCATATCGTACAAATGATCAGATGAGCACCGCACCACACTTCATCGGAAGAATGCCGACACCATTTGGGTCTGTAATCATATGTTTGTTTCGGAAATGGTCACTCAGTGCTCGCATTCACTGAATGTTTCACTTTCGGCCAGATGAGGGCAGCAGTTTATAGCAAAACTGTATTGTGGCTAGGATATTCTTTGTACAACGCAAACTTCAGATTTTAAATGCATTGGCTAACATTATACTGTATAAGGAGTATGAATAAAATGATCCCTACAAAGATCACTGGCTGGATCAGTCGCCTGTTTAGCTGCAATGTTGCAGGTTCAAATCCAAACTAGGCTCCCCTGAACACATGCTTCATGAATATTATTGAACAAGCAAATATAAAATTTGAATTTGCGCATTATACATTTTAATGATGGGGCCAAATAGCTAAGGGATAATACCATATCGGGGTAGTTGAGCTGGCACCGCTGAGATCTGAGGTTCGAATCTTGAAAATCCTTTATTGATTAATCCATTTCTGAAGTTAAGTGAGACTTTATTCTACCGGGGTCACCGGTGTCAGCACAACCAACTTAATAACATTTTGTTACTTAATTTTGTTTATTCCATCTCTTGACGATAATATGCATTGGCTCCGTTGCCACGTTAAAAAGATTCCATCGAGTGTAGTAAGTGACTGCTGAATTGTGTGTTTAAGTAGTTATGGGGCCTCATCTTCCAGAGCTGTTTTCTAATACCAGCTGGTGCACTGCTAGCTGAAAGAACCTCCCAAGTGGAAATTCATTTTTCTCAAGAGATTAGGGTGAGAGCAGACTTACAAAATAATTGAGGAGATTTAATTAACATAGATATATCATCTTCTTGGTTCTTTCTGTAAATTCACGTAGAATGAGAATAAAACAATAAAACAAAATAAGACAATAAAATTCTCACGACGTTTCGGCCACAACACAAGTAGCCCTCTTCAGGTGAAGGAACAGAACTGTCGGGATGACAGCGCTTCAATGAAAGAACCAAGAAGATGAATCCTTGCAGTCACGAAAGCTTGAAATCGAAAAATAGATATATCATGTTGCACAATTACCACAGTTCGATGTGAGTTATTTATCTGCTGGGGAAAAAAAAAACAAATCTTCACTTTGGCCAGTGACTGCCCGAGTGCATATTAACAACGGTGTTGCTGCTTTTAATAAAACAAAAAAAACTTGAACAAATGTAAGCAAAACCTCTTATAATTCTACACTTGCCTAATTCACTGGTGCACTTTAAGGAATGGTTCGACGTTAACCCCGTATACGTGTCCCAATGCAGCCAGGCTTATTGCATCGAGAACGCACATGGACAGCTGGTAAGAGACATGGACTTCAACCCAAACAAGCAGTACTACCTGGCGAGCTGTGGCGACGACTGCAAGGTCAAGTTCTGGGACACCCGTAACCCAACGGAGCCTGTGCGCAGCTTGGAAGAGCATTCACACTGGTCAGTCCTAGAAGGGCATTCACGCTGGTCAGTCCTAGAAGGGCATTCACACTGGTCAGTCTTAGAAGGGCATTCACGCTGGTCAGTCTTAGAAGGGCATTCACACTGGTCAGTCTTAGTAGGGCATTCACACTGGTCAGTCCTAGAAGGGCATTCACACTGGTCAGTCTTAGAAGGGCATTCACGCTGGTCAGTCTTAGAAGGGCATTCACACTGGTCAGTCTTAGTAGGGCATTCACACTGGTCAGTATTAGAAGGGCATTTACACTGGTCAGTCTCAGAAGGGCATTCACGCTGGTCAGTCTCAGAAGGGCATTCACGCTGGTCAGTCTCAGAAGGGCATTCACGCTGGTCAGTCTTAGAAGGGCATTCACGCTGGTCAGTCTTAGAAGGGCATTCACGCTGGTCAGTCTCAGAAGGGCATTCACGCTGGTCACTCTCAGAAGGGCATTCACGCTGGTCAGTCTTAGAAGGGCATTCACGCTGGTCAGTCTTAGAAGGGCATTCTCTGGTCAGTCTTAGAAGGGTATTCGCGCTGGTCAGTCTTAGAAGGGCATTCACACGGGTCAGTCTTAGAAGGGCATTCACGCTGATCAGTCTTAGAAGGGCATTCTCTGGTCAGTCTTAGAAGGGCATTCACAATGGTCAGTCTGCCCGTCAAGCTCCCTTCACAGTCACGAGAAGTGGAACTGTGCTTCTTTACATCATCAAATGACAGGTTTCCATTTGAATAGCATTGTTCTGTATTTTTTTCCACGATTCATTGGTATTTTTTGTTATTCTTTTCATATTTTTTTTCTAATTCCACCATTGGAACCCACTGACGGGAAGCACAAATGCATTCAAATTGCGCAGATTAGTTGTAATGCAGCGCCACAGTAGAACAGTGTGTGCATCGATGCTGCACATAGGAATGTGATGTTAATAAGACAACAAATGAAATTGCAGTCAACATGAATATATAAAGATATGCTTTGTACGTTTATAGAAATTAATCTGACATATTTAAAAGCTACGTCAGATGTGGACAGCGTGAAGTAAGATTTTACAATAGCTTTTATATGGAATGCAGACGAGGTGCAGGTTTATAGATGTCACCATGGGCAGGGAGTAGAGCAGTGAGAAGCGACTTGGCCACAAATGATAGCTCAGCGAAGTGGCTTTTTACGTTGAAATTTATAGTAGCCAAATAATATCAGTGCATGTTTATAAATGTGGAGGGAAAAAACGAAAGACCCGGAGAAAAATCCACGCGACCGCGGGGAGCGCACGCAAACTCCAAACACACAGGCGTCAGGGTCGGGATCGAACCCACGACCCCCTGCATACCGGGCGAGGGAGATAACATCTCACCACCGCGGTGCCATGCAGTGGCAACACCGGAGGAGGAGAAGCGACCGCCTGGCGCGTTGAGTTCAATGCTGGGGAAGGCGAGCAAGCGAAGGTGGTGGTGCGTGCTAGCACGTGTGACGTTAACGAGGCCTCCTTTTGACCGCAGGGTGTGGAGCGTTCGCTACAACCACTCGCACGACCAGCTGGTGCTGAGCAGCAGCAGCGACAGTCGCGTGATTCTCTCGAACATGGTGTCCATCTCGTCGGAGCCCTATGGGCAGGGGGCTGATGATGACGATGATGAAGCCAGTGATGCAGACGAGAAGGTCGACACGGAGCCCAAGTAAGCCTTGCACCCTACAAGTTAATCAGCCGTAGTTTCTGCTTGGCTATTATATATTTTAACCATGAACTATAACATGCCTGTGAAAATGTAGTTTAAATCTCCCACACCAAAGACTCTTATTTTCCTCTGGCACATTACCTGCAATTATAAATATTTTTCATTTAAAGCTTTCGTGACTGCAGGGATCCATATTCTTGGTTCTTTCGGTAGTTATTCAGATGGATGAGTCCATCTATGTTCGGAAAAGAGGAGGGGGGAGACGAAAATAATGGATGCGGTCTGAAAGCCACCGTAAGCGTGAACAATTTATTAAGACCTGAAATGGTTTATCAAATCCTTCCAATGATTGCTAAGCCAGAATCCATCTTGTCGGTTGAAATTGTCTCTGTGTTTGTATATGTGGATAGCCTCATGAACGAATCTCTCATGGTAGCCAGATGGCTTGCAAAGAACCTCTGTCTTGGAGAAGTCAATGTCATGTGAGCCTACTGAATTATAACAGTGAACTGCCACGGCCGAGGTGTTGGTCCTACTGTGTTTTAGGTCTGCTTTGTGTTCACGAATGCGGTCCGAGACATGTCGTTTGGTTTCTCCAATGTAACTACTACCACAGAGGCAACTTAGTTTGTAGACGCCAGGGTACTGTATGTCCGGAATCACATCTTTTACAGACGGAACCAGATCACGGATTTTATGTAATGTGTTGAATCGGACCTGGATCTTGTGTTTATTCAAGATTTTGGAGATCTTTTTTGTGATCCCCGCAATGTAGGGTAAAGTTATGGTTTTGAAAGGCTCCTCAAGAGGGTCCTTCTTCATGGTTGGAGTAATAGCTTTGCGGATTGTGTAGTCGGAGTAACCATTAGCCTTAAGAGCTTGGTGTACGTGCTTGAGTTCACTGGCTATGTGTTCCTGGTCGGTATGCATTGGGCTCTATGGTGCAGAGTTTTAATGAGGGAATTCTTCTGGGATGGATAGTGGTGGGAATCCGGTTTCAGATAAGCATCCGTATGGGTAGCTTTCCTGTAAACAGAGTGGCTCATTGAACCATCAGGTCTCTTTTTTTATTAGGACATCCAAAAAAGGTAGCTTGCCATCTTTTTCGACTTCCATGGTAAATCTGATGGCTGGGTGCATGGAAATGATGTGGTCGAGGAATTGGTCTAGAGCAGGCCGGCTATGTGGCCAGATGACAAAAGTGTCATCCACGTACCTCTTCCATAAGGTTGGGCGCAGAGTGGCAGTCTGGATGTTTCCCTTCTATGTGACTTTACCGAAAGAACCAAGAATATAAATATTTTGTTCACTTTTATTACCTGGTTCAAAGATCAAAAATTATATGCAATGCATCATCAAGGTCCTTGGTACCTTCTGGACAGATTGGGTCCTTAATTGTTTTGACGATAATACATCAAGTATTAACTGCCTCGCTCACAGAGGAACAATGAAAGTTTATTACAATGTTGATTATGTATTTTCTTAAGCTTTTTTTGCAGGAAATCCTTAATTTCCAGATGCACTTTCACTGGGGTCCTGTTTCAGGATGTTTGATAATTTCCTTTTTTAAATATCTTTGGGTCTTTTGGGTGTAGCCAGGAAAACTCTTGCTTTTAATAGAATAACAGTCAAACTGCACAGGGGTAGCTAAGTAGTCGTTCTTGCTGTACTTCTACCTGTATTATGATCCAGTTGTGAAATTGCAATTTCTGGGTGATCCATCAAAGCCACAGGGGTCTGGGGAATGTGAGGGACTTAACTGGGTAAATTTCCCTTCAACGTGACTTTACCGAAAGAACCAATAACATGAATCACTGCAGTCACGAAAGCTTTAAATCAAAATTGAACTACAAGTTATTAAATATAATTCCTACTGAAATGAGCAATGTGGCAGTGCTCATCTTTGGCAGTCCTCAGCCAGTGGTGGAATTTCTTCACTCTCATTGTAGGGGTCAGTCTAACCGTAGGGTGACCACGGTTGACCTCCAAATTGTGCCTACTCATTATAGCCTGAAGTGATTCCCAATAATGATTTAAACTTGCAGCCTTTCCACTACAAGTCACTGGCTCTTAACTACAGTGGCACCCATCCAGACAAAAGAATATAGATTATTTTCTTAAATAATAAGATTATAATTTAGTCATCAAAGATGGTCACCACATCGCGCGCTTTCAGATGCGCTGCTGCGGCCGTCTGGAACGCTCTTCCTTCCGATATTAGGAAGCCACTGGAGCTATGCACTTTGAAATCTAGATTTAAAACTCATTTCTTCAGAACTGCTTTTTATATTTACTCGTCCTTCCCCTGCATCTCCGATTATCACGGTCGGCTACGTACGATGCGAAAGAAGTTCAACATGCATACGTACAACTACAGTGCCACCCAGCCGGACGAAAGAAATTCGATAATTTTCTGAAATGGCAAGATTCTAATTAAGTTATCAACAAACCTCTGAACGGCTGCCAGTACTGGCAAGAGACGAAGATCTGGCAATACACGACTCATGTGTGCGTGTCTTTTCACCGCTTCGCCGCCCCCCCCGTGAACAGGAGTAAGGAGCCCCCTCAGGACAGCATCATTGCGACGTACGAGGAGCACGAGGACAGCGTGTACGCCGTCGAGTGGTCCGCCGCCGACCCCTGGCTCTTCGCCTCGCTCAGCTACGACGGGCGGCTCGTCATCAACCGCGTCCCCCGCACCGTGAAGTACAAGATCCTGCTCTGAGGCGATGGCAACCGGCGTGCGTGTGCCTACCCACACAAGGGCTGTTGCCACTTTACTCGGGCAAGCAGGCCACACACCTGGGCTCTCGTGCCCCTCGTGCTGCGATATTTTTAATTCAGGTTTTTTTTTGTGTGTGTGGTTGTCAGGCACTTTGGTGATGTCCGGTTGTACTGTGACACGCGGTGCCAGGTTGTACGCATGCGTGTTGAACTTCTTTCGCACCGTACGTAGCCAACCGTGCTAATCGGAGTTGCGGGGGAAGGACAACAAACTAAACACGAAAAGCAGATGTGAAGAAATTAGCTTTCATTTTAGATTGAAAAGTGCATAGCTCCAAGTAGCTTCCTAATATCGGAAGAGCATTCCAGGCGGCTGCAGAAGCGCATCTGAAAGCGCGCGATGCAGTGGCCGTTGATTACTGTGCACATACACAGAGTTAAGGTCTGTTATGTGCCAGTATTGCATCAATGCATTCGCTACCGCACTACGCTCTACGCTTTAATCCCAGTTCGATTTTCCCACAATCACAAAAAGTTAGTGGCATGTGCTAGAACAACCAGTCCTGGGCCTCCTTAAGGTCAACTACATGCTAGTCCGTGCGAGTTGGTGAAGGTGGGGAGCATAGCAGTGAAGTATAACACGTAATTTTCCTGCATTGCCCTTTGCTGCCCACATGTAGTTCTACTAGCCTATAACACCGATTGTGCATGGGGATCAACCATCCATCTCCTATTGCCTGTTCACATCCTCACCTGCTACATCTCAGACGCAATATGTGCATCCTGCCCTGGTTTCTCACTATAGTTTATCAAGGACGGTTTCGAATTTAAGCGTTTAGGAATGGTCTATGGTCATGGGGTGAGCAAAATCAATTCTATGTTCAATTCTATTATCTTAATTGTGTGCAGCAGTGAACATCTTCCTTTCCACAAAGAACCGTTTCAGTCTAACGCTGTCATGCATTGATTTAAACCTGCCGATTGCTTGTGCTTGCTATTTTTAGTATGGAAAGAGGAGTGTAAGATTCAAGGAATACATCGATGTTTTGTAAAATAATTTGCTGCCCTTGTGGTTTTGGAATAGGTCACCAAAATTATTTCTTCTAAAGAATATCAATCTATTCGCTTGCTATTGTCCTTAACATGATGTACACATTTATAAACATGTAGATAGATGTTTGGAATCGTAGAGATTTTAAAATAACGCTCAGCACACACTTGTATAACTTGTATATTTAAAGATATACTTTAATTATTTAAGCAGAGATAGCAGTATGATCTGTAAATCTACTTTATAATTAACTTAATCGAATCTTGTGCTCCCCCCCCCCCTATGAGATTGCTGGTCGTAATAACATGCTTTGAATATGGTGCACTATAATGCTTGAAGAGTCTTAAGAGAACTTTACTATAATAGTACTTAAACTCTAAATTCCTAAAACCTGCACTCTGCAGAGCTGGGCAGGGAATCTTAAAGCTGTGTAGCAACTTGTTTGTGAGACAAGCTTGAGCAACTACGTGAGTGTTCATAATTACTCTAATGGGAACTTGACTTTCACTGAGCACTTACTGAGTATCCTTATAATCTGTTCAGCTCGCGTGCAGTCCAAACAGAGCTGGTAAGACCCAGCCCTATCGGGCTAAGTGCCTTAACCCCTTTACCTGTGGAATTGTGTTATTATCTTAGAAGACACACAGCCAAAATGTCCCGCAGGTAATGCTCATGGCATCGATTTATCAGACTGCGCTTGCTTATGTCATTTACTTTCGTGTCCCAAGTGGGACGTCCCCACTTGTGTACAATTTGCGCCAAGAAAAACCGCTTCAAAGCAGCCACAGTGTGTGTTTTTATTGAATTAAAACAATACATCTACATTTTCACATTGGGTGGGGGGTGCGGTGGATTGTTCTGGCAAGCATTAGTAGCCGTCGTGTGATGTCAGGCGTGGCGAGAGGATGTTTCAGTTTCACCGCCCAGCCCTTTTTCTGGGCTTGCTGTTACATGCTCGAAGCAACAGATTGCAATTGCCTGTACAAGCCACGCATGGCTTTCCTTTCATTTTCACGAGTGGTAAAACAATAAAGGCAGTCTCTCCATCACTTTACCTAAACACGAGCACAGGTAAAAAAAAACCCAGGTGTGCATCCGATTGTAGGCACTGAAATATTTAACAAACAAAACATTCCCTTTCACTGGATGCCCTTTTTTTTTGTTTTGCTGCTCATGGCTGCTGCGACTGAGCGCCACGTAATGTCTACGCAATCCATATGTCATAGCAGGTAATATACACTCTTTAATCTACACAATACTATAGTTAAAGCATTTAAGCACATCGATGTGCTGCTTTCGTTACCAAGTTAATTTCTACAAATGCATTCCAACCTGTTCCTTATTTTCATCCCATTCCATCTTAAATAATTGCCCAAGGTGTACACACTCTGATGCGTTTGCCAGTTTTAGCAATATTGTTGTGCATGGCTTTTGTCTTGCACGGATTTATCTTGAACCCAACTTCGCATCAGTCTTGGATAGTCCTTCAATCAGTTCCTGTCGTTAATTTCCATTTACTTTTTTACGACTGCCTCAGCAGCAAATCTGAGATGGCTGTTATTTTCTTTATTTTAGAGCGTTTATTTCTTCAATTCAAGTGTTCGAAGTTTCGTTTTTGTTGGTGTGAATATATATCGGGTTGCCTCTGATATATATTGTTAATCTAATGCGATCTCTGTGTAGTTGTTTCATCCACGTGAATGGTTTTCATTCTCAATGTTATACTTATTTTGTGATAGCTGGATGACAGCAGCAATTTCTACTGAGTCGAATGCTTTTGCGTCATCTTCAAAGGCTAAGCATAATGGTAATGTCATGATGGCAACCAAATAGTATCTCCAGGTGATGAGACAATTTCTTTGAGACCTACCTAAGTGGCCTGAAATGCGTTTACTGGAACCAGATTTCATGAACCCAAAACTGAAAAAGTGGCCCCGTGTTTCCTTAATAGAATTTCTCTCGCTCGTCCACGAGTGAGGGGTGTCGTGCACGAGTGAGGGGTGTCGTGCTTCAGAATGGGGCACGAGTGTGAACGCAAGGTACCTGCGCTGAACCCCTTGCAATTGTGCCTGATCATGCATGGTTTCATACAATGTTTTAAAGTTATAATTAATGTATCTCCATTTCCATCTTTTCGAGTGGTTTCCTTTTGTAGCAAAGTAGAGTTATGGTAAATTAAACAAGTAGTCGTTTATATTAATAAAGTAATAAAAATAAAGCAATAAAATTAATTATTAGTTTTTAATTGTTGTATTTTTATTATTTTATTATTTCCCTTCTACGTGGCTTTACCGAAAGAACCAAGAATATTAATCCCTGTAGTCACGAAAGCTTTAAATCGAATAGTAGTCGTTTACGTGATGATATACTTTGGTTTATTAAAATTACTGGGTTTAAATGTGGTTATACATTTGCGTATTGTTCAGTGCTTGGCCAGTGAGTCTCCAAATGTTTGCATTACAAATGTACATTGTCGCGTCCACTCATAAGGGGGATTCTCCGAAGCTCAAAATGAACTCTGAAGATACTGTAAATATTACACGGTACCAAATGAACAAATTAGAAATAAAGTGTATGTGTGTGCGTGTACTATATTTTGGTTTGTAATTCACTGCGATGTGCATAGTGCAATGCCAAGTTCACTCATTCAGATTTAGTGTTGGTGATGTGTGCTAGAAGCCCTGCTCCCTTCACAGTGACCTGGACTGCCTCTTACTCCCATGAAATGGAGACGGTTGACTGCGAATGTATGAATTTAAATACTTCGCTTGGGAAATCCATTGAGGTGGAAACATCTCGGTTTGCAAGGGCGTTCAAGAAATGGAAACATTGTGTTTAATCACGTTCTCCAACTGTGTCCAGCGCGTGCTGCTTGATGGAATGCATTGCTCGGAATAATATCAAACATATGGTGCATGCCTCTTAGCTTGTAAATGCTAACATTTACTCGGCTTATACGATCATTGTAATCAATTGTTTGTCAGTGGAAATTGAAAAATAACTCTTGCTACATTTCACTAATGATGATTACCCGTTTTTTGCATATGAAAGATGGGGCGAACGAAATATTCTTGCAACTTCAATCAACCTTTTCCTCACAGTGTGGGTGGTTAGTGTGAGCAAATAACGCAATTAAAAAACGGTGGTTTTAACCTCTGTACTATTTACAATAGTCGGTTAACGATTCATCAAATTAGCCCCACCTGAACATACGAGAAATTGGGCACGGTTTACATTTTAAATCCGCTGACAGTTTTTTATATTTATTATAAAATTAGTTTTATTCCACATCCTTTCTCACATCATACATTGCATCGATGGTGTCAGGTACACAGGACTCATCAGAGCAGGCAGGGGGGGGGGGGGGGTGGCCAGGTCATTGCCCTTCTGGGCTCGGGTATTTAAGACTGTTCTAAGGTTTAGGAATGGACCCAACGCACGTGCTGTAATTCTTCCTTGTCTCTTGAGCTCAGCTCAGACCAAGGCCGTAATTATTCAAATATATTGCTATAAATAATATTTAATTGCTATGCTATGTAAATAAAAATAACAATTTGCTTAACCTTTTCCACAATATCTGGACTTGTCTTCATACAGTGAGGGAAAAAAGTATTGATCCCCTGCTGATTATGTACGGTTGCCCACTGACAAAGAAATTATCAGTCTATAATTTTAATGGTAGGTTTATTTGAACGGTGAGAGACAGAATAACAACAACAAAATCCAGAAAAACGCATGTCAAAAATGTTATAAATTGATTTGCATTTTAATGAGGGAAATAAGTATTTGACCCCCTTTCAATCAGAAAGATTTCTGGCTCCCAGGTGTCTTTTATACAGGTAACGAGCTGAGATTAGGAGCACACTCTTAAAGGGAGTGCTCCTAATCTCAGCTTGTTACCTGTATAAAAGGCACCTGTCCACAGAAGCAATCAATCAGATTCCAAACTCCACCATGGCCAAGACCCAAGAGCTCTCCAAGGATGTCAGGGACAAGAGTGTAGACCTACACAAGGCTGGAATGGGCTACAAGACCATTGCCAACCAGCTTGGTGAGAAGGTGACAACAGTTGGTGCGATTATTCGCAAATGGAAGAAACACAAAAGAACTGTCAATCTTTCTCGGCCTGGGGCTCCATGCAAGATCTCACCTTGTGGAGTTGCAATGATCATGAGAACGGTGAGGAATCAGCACAGAACTACACGGGAGGATCTTGCCAATGATCTCAAGGAAGCTGGGACCATAGTCACCAAGAAAACAATTGGTAACACTACGCCGTGAAGGACTGAAATCCTGCAGCGCCCGCAAGGTCCGCCTGCTCAAGAAAGCACATATACATGCCCGTCTGAAGTTTGCAAATGAACATCTGAATGATTCAGAGGACAACTGGGTGAAAGTGTTGTGGTCAGATGAGACCAAAATGGAGCTCTTTGGCATCAACTCAACTCGGCGTGTTTGGAGGAGGAGGAGGAATGCTGCCTATGACCCCAAGAACACCATCCCCACCGTCAAACATTGAGGTGGAAACATTATGCTTTAGGGGTGTTTTTCTGCTAAGGGGACAGGACAACTTCACCGCATCAAAGGAACGATAGACGGGGCCATGTACCGTCAAATCTTGGATGAGAACCTCCTTTCCTCAGCCAGGGCATTGAAAATGGGTCGTGGATGGGTATTCCAGCATGACAATGACCCAAAACACACGGCCATGGCATCAAAGGAGTAGCTCAAGAAGAAGCACATTAAGGTCCTGGAGTGGCCTAGCCAGTCTCCAGACCTTAATCCCATAGAAAATCTGTGGAGGGAGCTGAAGGATCGAGTTGCCAAACGTCAGCCTCGAAACCTTAATTACTTGGAGAAGATCTGCAAAGAGGAGGGGGACAAAATCCCTCCTGAGATGTGTGCAAACCTGGTGGCCAACTACAAGAAACGTCTGAGCTCTGTGATTGCCAACAAGGGTTTTGCCACCAAGTACTAAGGCATGTTTTGCAGAGGGGTCAAATACTTATTTCCCTCATTAAAATTAAAATCAATTTATAACATTTTTTGACATGCGTTTTTCTGGATTTATTTGTTGTTATTCTGTCTCTCACTGTTCAAATAAACCTACCATTAAAATTATAGACTGATCATTTCTTTGTTAGTGGGCAAACGTACAAAATCAGCAGGGGATCAAATACCTTTTTCCCTCACTATAACAATGCATAGATTTATGTTTATATGATTGTGGTTATGGTTGTACTTTATTAATCCGTAATCTCTGCCATTACATACAATGAAACCAGAAAAGGTAAAAAAGAAAGAAAAACAGCAATGTAATACAATAGACTTTTAGACATTATTGTAAAAATAAGTCCATCCCATGTTCTTAGCTCTTTCGGTAAAGTCACGTTGAAGGGAAACAATAAAATAATAAAAAATATATAAAACAATATATTTTATAATTGTATATTATTTTATTGTTTCCCTTCAACGTGACTTTACCGAAAGAGCTAAGAATATGAATTACTGCAGTCACGAAAGCTTTAAATCAAAATTTAAAATCCATCCCATGTGTTAGTGAATTTTTTAATATTTTAGGCACGAAATGGCAGGAAATGGGTTTTCAAATTTAGATTTTTTTCTGGGGGGGGGACCCCCAGACCCCCTGGAAGATTTGGTCCCCCCCAATGTTGACTCCATGGCTACGACCTTGGCTCAGACAGACGCTCCAGTGCTCAGTGCTGAGATTGGACCCAATGAATACAACCATCGAGTATGGGAGCGGGGTTCGTGATTCTTCCACGTACTCAAATATGTGTTTTTTTTTCCTGGCTGCTCTATTTTAAAGTCTTTAACAATATCTTCTGTTCTCCAATTAGTCCCACTTTTCGTAGGCCCCACAGGGTAGTTTCTACAATTCTTTTTGCAGTTGTGTAATGATGCTCCTTCGCAGGTTCCATTTCTTTCAAGGGAATGATGTTTATTTCCCGATAACGTTTAACACGTAGGCTTTCGCGACCAAAATCCATAATAGTTTTTTTTTGGGTTAGATCGCGTAAATATATAAATGTGTCATTAAAACCCGCCACCACCTGACACAGCCAACTAGTAAGGGTTGTCACGTAAACAGAACGTGCCAGTGCGTCACTCGTACAGCACAAATCTGGCTGTCGCCTGATGAAGCTAGTTGTAATTACTGGCGAAACGTCGTACTCAGATTGTAAATGTTGTGGCTTGGCTCTCCAACACACCGGTGTGCTGTACTAGTAACGAATTGGCCACGTTTTGTTTACGTGACAACCCTTACTAGTTGGCTGTGTCGGGTGGTGGCGGGATTTAACGATACATTTACGTGATCTAACCCAAAACCCTCTTATCATTATTATCCGGAGAACGTTTTTACAAAGGCGCGAGAGTACGACTGGATTAACTCACGACGGCTACGACGATTTGCAGCCCCGTTTTGGCTCCCACTAGATTAACATTAAACGGTCGTTTTAGATGTTTTACTACGCACGACGTAGATCATTTAGTAAGTCGGCTCCGATTATGTCCACCTCCAGTCGTCGACCAGTCCCCCCCCACTCCCCCCCCCCGAGCAAGCGCCCCAATCGCGGGCCTCGGCTCCCCCGTTTTGTACCCGCTCGGCCGCTCCCTTCTCGAACCCTGGCAACTTCCAGCACTTTCCCCGGTAGACGGATCCAGCGGACTCCTCCATATTCCAACTTCCCTTCTCGAACCTTCCCTCGTACAGGAAACCCTGCACGTGTTTCCACCCATTTCCACTCGCCCCACCTATAATCTTTGCCACGTACAGATGTATTGTTAATCTTGTTGAATACCCCTGTTATATGTTCATGGGACTCGGCAATAGTCGGACGTGACCAGAAATGCATGTTCGTAATCGTGTATTCCGCCCAGACGGCTCCTCAGGCGGTTCGGCATGTGATGTGCAAAAGTGAAGTGACCCTCATAGGCCAATAATGGTCTTTGAGGTGGGTTTAATGGAGTTCCATGAAGCAGGTCAAGCTATTGTTCAATTTCCATTAATTACTATAAAAACAATAATTTCCATCAAAAAACAGGTCCTCATCAACTCTCCTGCCTGCATTGGGATGGATCGTCAATTCTATTCTCCAGAAAAATGGAGTACCTGGAGAAAACCCACAAGTGAGTGGGAAACAATCCTGTCCATCTTTCAACCAAAGCCGACAAGACCTGGCATTCCCAGGCAGTTTCGCATCCAAGTACTCACCAAACTTAACCCTACTTCGCTTGTGAGATCTGATGAGATTGCGTTCAGGGTTTTATTTTTTGGAGGCAAAGTGAGAAAGCGTTTTCCTGCATATCAGACCACAATTTTGAAACGAAGCTCCGTAAATATATGAATGCGTTGCAGATCTATTACCAATACGATTGCTGCCCTTCATATGAGTGAAAGCTGAGGACATGCCTCCATCAGCTATGTGCAACTCGTAATCCCGTCAAATTCAAGTACTGCTCAGTTAAATACATATTCCTGAAGATTCAAAATTTAAATTAGCAATGACGCTGCTTGATTGAAATGCCAAAGTCTCAATAAAACTAACAGAATCTTGTTCACAGGATTACAAGGCTATTTTGCAGACGGTCCTGTCACGAACAGGTGCGAGCCTTCACAAGCGATAACTGTTTGCGTTTCTCATGGACATTGCTAACTTCTGCAACCTGCTTGCAGTCTGAGAGGTGTCAATAGGTATTGGGGGGAGAGAGAGAGAAAAAAACGCGTTTATCTCTGCTTGCGACGTATTTAATGTACCGAATGTCAGGACGACAATTGCCTGAATAGTTGACGGTTTCAAGTAAAAAGGGAAACGTGAAGCCTAAAAACGCCAGGATGAAGCCGCTTTTCTGCATGAGCAGGCAGGGGGGCCGACGCTCAGCTATTGGCAAATGCGTACTGTGCACGGGCTCAGAACGAAAACACTTATTGTGTTGTTTGAGAAACACGCCGTTCAAGCCTCGTCCGAGATTGACTTCCGTTTACTCAGAAAAGAAAAATAGCGGCGTGTTCTCGTCGTGCGGATTTCTGTGCCGCGTGTGTTTAAGGGACACTCGAAGCCTAATTGCTGCGGTGCGTTTGTGACAATTTGCAGTGGAGCCGTGGAGAGTGGGGGGAGGGGGGGTAACCTGTTAATTATACACTCTAACAAAAAAACATGTTCCTGGGTAGTAAGTGTTATTTCCCAATTGCTTATGCCTCAAAAGTACAGAAGATGGCTATTATTCCACTCACAAACTTTGCTTTTGTGACCGGGACAGTGATATTTAGAAATGTAGCTATTTTCAATGAAAAAACGTCGTGTGCATTTGTGTAATTCCTTCACGTAAAGTCCTGGTCACAAAAGCAAAGTTTGTGGGGAATAATAGCCATTTTCTATACTTTTTAGGCATAAGCAATAAAAAAATAACACTACACAGGAACAAAAATTGCGTTACATAGTGAATTATTAACCTAAAAAAAACTTATGTGAATTTTGTGGGGATTTCCCCCCCCCCC